TAAGTCTGACCTGTAACCTACTGTATGTTAAGAAGCACAAGTCAATACAGGGTTTATTTTCTTCTGGTAAATCCACTCAGAAATGAAAGATTTTCGAGATTAATATTAGATTAATAAATATAGGTTTAAACATTATGGAAGTAAACATATTAGACTTATTGTCATGACTACTGATTTAGTTAAATTACACACTATTCTTAAAACAGATTCTACTGCAATTAGACAATTGAGTTTTATTGTAGGACTTTATCATTAACACGCTTGCAAAAGTCTATTTATAGTCCCATATAAAAGCCTGGATAACAAAATTATACCCAGTTGATCTCATTCTCATATTATCACTCAATTAATTTGAATGAAGATGGGCTTTAAATTAGGAATTTAGAGGTAAAGTAGTACAGAGCGCCTGGGGACAGACGTTTGAATAGCTCCGCAGTAAAGCTTCACATAAACTGCCGCGCCCAGCCGCTATCCACCACACCTCACACCCTGACACACGCCTCAGCCTCTTGTGTCTGGGATCCTTTCCTCTCGCTGATAAAAAAAAAAAAAAAAAACTCCCAGGAATCACCTCTTTTTGCCCTTTTGCCCAGAGGACTGTCTGTGATGTCAGTCTCTCCAGAGCTTGTGGAGGTAAACAAAGGAAATAGGAAGCATAAGGCAGCAGGTGCTAGCCAGCTGCTGAAGTGTCTAGGTCTCATGAAGGACAACAGAAATTTCTCTGGAAATCTATTTGTTTGAGTGCTTTATTATCTACTTAAATCACAGCATTTGGGATTTGAACTTGTTTGCATAATGATCTTATGGAAAAGTTTGATTTTCACTCACCAATTAGCCAGGAAATTAACATCAAAGTTTTAATAGACAGAATTCAAAGTGCTGCTTTTGAAGTGTCTCATTCTCTACTTCCTTCCTCAGGACTGTGGACATTGACTGTGGCCGGCCGCTACAGCAGATGAGATAATGTGATGGAGCTCTGTTCTGAAGAAAAACAACTTTTTTTTCCTCCTCACTTGATTAAGGATGAGGAAGCAAAAATTGTAAAGGCATGGGAGTCGTGTTGGGGTGGGGGGGGGGGGGGGGGGGGGGGGTTGTTTCTTTGGGAGCAGGCCAAAGACCTCTGTCTCTGTTTGTTCAGATGACATCATCTTTCTACTATCCCATATATCAGATACCCTGCTGTCCTCAGCGCTACTCCTCAGTTTTTACTGACCCAACACTGAGTCAATGATTGGCTTATAATTTCACTGAACCTGCATGCTTCAGTGTGCAAGGCGTGAGCTTTCTAATTTTAACCCAGAAGAGTGTGTGTTATTGTGCCAAGGTTCACCCTTCAGTTGAAATATGTCTTTATCTCATTTATTTTTTCAGCTGTATTCGGGTTATGGTGGTATAATTAGTCACACTGGCCTTCTGATGCACCAGAAAAGGAAGATCAAGCTTACTGCCATGTCTAAACTTTGCGCCATCTCATAAATGGCAAATGCCTTGATTTGCATTAGTAGTAGTGTCTACCTAAGTAGTCTGGAGCAAGTGGTGCATTCAAGTATGAGAGAAAAGTTTCTGTTTAACTTTTTAACTGTGCATGAAAAAAAAAAGCAAAACTTGACCATAGTCCCAAACACTCCCACCTTCCAAAAACAGCGAATGTAAAACTCATTATATCCAGCAGGAATGAAAATGAACTACGCTGCAAAATTATCAAGGTGACAGACATTATGTTCCTACACACTGCAACATGCCCTGCTCTCTTTAAAAATTACATCATGGAAAGGGAGAGAAAAGTATTAATTAACATATGTTGGCACCCTTTCTTAATATCACTTGAATAATCTGTTTAGGCCACTAAGTGCTGCCACGACTAACTCAGGTTCATGTCTTGTATTATCACCTACAGTATGGCCTACTGTATGAGACCAGCATGATGTGTCCTGGGCACCTGGCCACCACTGATCCCACTCCTTAGACCTCTGTTTGTTTTGGGAGCTCTGGCTACCTCTGACCAGTGGATAAACCCCAAGCTGTGTATTTTGAATGTCAGAAGTACTTTGTGGGACCTGTGAAATGGATTTGATTCAGGACTTAGGCTGGAACCGGCAGAGGCTCTGCTCAATGTCACAGCACAGCATAAACACCTGTTGATTTCAAAATGGTAACACACCAAGCACTAACCGACCTCTGACCGTGAACAGGCACAAATCCAACTCCTCCACTTACAAACTGACTTTCTCTTGGAGAATCTGCTGCTCACTCAGCTTCTGTTTCTGATTTCTGGAACAATCAATGGACCATACTTTATACAGGAAATACCAATATGGATGAACAAGGGAATTAGATCATAACACTGAGCTGCTCAGCTCCTGGCTACTAGAAAGAAATAGTAGGGAAATAGAGGTGAGAGAGTCGTAACATTGGATGAAAAATATTGGGAAACTCACGGCCAGAAAATGGAAATGAGGTATTGGAGTTGGCAATAAATACTAGACTTAACTGCCTGAGAATTTTCCCCGCTTAGGAATGTGTCAGACTTAAACTGGAGTTCCCATGGCTTTGCTGCGAGGTATGTATGAGGAATGGTGCTCATTCCAATTAGACTGTTTACTTTGCCCTCTCCTTTGCGCGCCGCTCCACTGCTCACAGGCGCGTCTGTGCGTAAAAGCTGCACAGACACGAGTGGACTTAACGCCAGCTGGAAAAATGAGATCCCTGTTTTCTACACTGTTACCTCACCTATAATAATGTTGTATCGTGGCCAGATAAAAGTTTTATTGGCTAAAATACATCTGCACAAGTGAGTATACAAAAGTTGCAAAAGAAGAATTTGGATAAAAATGTTGGCTGCATGGCGCTCTGGCGAAATAAAATATATTGCAAATCACAAATAATCTCTCACATCTAGAATATAAAAGGTTGTGTACTGGGTGGGGATAGGGTGTTGCAAAAAAAGACACTCGAATAAACATGAGTAAAGGCAGTTCACTTACTGTTTTCTGGTGGACCACTGATCATGTTGAACTTGTAAATCTCTTTGGCATAGTACTCAGTCTCCGTGTTATCCTGTCCACAACTCTGCTGCCTGTCTCTTCCCAGTTCCTCAATGAGCTCCTTGGTGCTATTATAAAGGGCCAGAACCTGAAACGGTACTTGACTTGGACCTGTTGTTTGAGGCGGACTGGTCAGCCGGAGTTTACTGAGGATCTGTCCCCGGACCGCCTCCACTCTCTTTTTCTTTATGTGGTCAATGTCCACAGTGGTGCAAGTGGATAGCGACAAAGTCATTGTCACACAGTTTGAGAGGAGGAAAAACAGAAGTGCTTTGCCCAGATTCATATTTCACTCTGCGTTCACTCACAACCGAGGCTTGTCAAGTAAAAGAAGAAAAAAAATTAAAAACAAAACTAAATTCCGATTTGAATAGAATCCCTTTTCTCTTTTCATTCAGGTCGTGAGTGAGTTCTGTTCCTGCAGGAATCCCATTTTCTCAAGTGCTATGTCATCTTTGCAAAATGCGCATTTGCATTGGAGCAAATCCGTGCCATTTTGGAAAATAATCTCAACTCCTCATCAAAACTCTTTATCCTACTCTTCATTCCCCCTTGTCTCATGCAAGCATCTCTTCCCTTCTTCTTAATTTACAGGGCACCGATCTCTACACCGTGGTTCAGTTTCTCCATTGCACTGGGCTCTTTCCATCCACTTGTTCTTTTGGAGTCAGTGCGCCTTCCTGCTAAACTCCCTGCAGTCCAGCCTCAAACACTCTCAGGCGCTTTCCACTCTCACTCACACTTTATAGTCACAAGCTGTGACGTTTTACCGAGGGAGGTGCAGCAAGTTACAGCCGGCTGTGCTCGGACAATGATCTGACCTACTCTGAAATGCGTTTAATAGGCTAAGACTTTGAATTTTATAGTGGCAAAGCTGTTTTTCAATCAGACTTTAGAAACCGTGCGGAATATTGGGCAATGTGTGATTTCGCAAGAGGGAAGAAAAAAGAAGAAAACCACATTGATTGCACTGATTTGTCACGGGAACATTTGTGTTTTCTGTCCTCTCTGCGGACGGAGAGGACAAGTACCGTTTGTATTTTGATGAATCAGATTGAAGTTGTTTTGCTGTGTGCTCACAGGTTTCCATCCATTAAACCCCCTTAGTCTGATCACTGAGTAGACTTACAATATATGAGTCTTTTGACAATGGTGATAACATCCAAAATAAAGTTTTAGAAGAAAATGAAATGCAGATGGAGGGCCAAAGTTAACAAAAGGGATCTTGAAGGTGCACAGGGGAACTCAACCAGTTGCTGTGGTCCGCTACCGTTCTGTTCCTCCCCAGTTTACATAAAACATGCACAAACAGTGACATCTAGCGGTCATCGCGGGGTGGGGTGGTTTTTGGATTGGGGTGGGAAGACATCATGTCCCATCTTTTACTTCCTTTCTCAGACTGTGGACATTGACATGTGGCAGGCCACCATAGTAGATGAGATAATGGAGATGATGTTATGAAGAAAAACAAAAAAATGTTTTCCATTCAGATGAGGAAGCAAAAAAGACGTGGGAGTTGTGGGAAAGATGCTGTTTGTTTGGTAAAAAGCAAACTCTGTCTGAAGCTGTTTAGATGACATCAAATTTCTATTAGACTATCCCATACATCAGATGCCCTGCTGTCCTGCAAATAATGAGCTTGGTTCTTAAAGTGTTATTATGCCGATGGCTTTTCCTCAAATTGCTTTGTCCGTATCCCATTTTTTCTGCTGTGTTTGGTTTATGATATTATGCATGGTACTGCGATGCAACAGAAAAAATGAATCTCCGCTGCAATATAATCATAGTCAGCAACAACACGAAAACCTATAGTCAGGTTGTCATAAATACTTTCTGTGTATTTGTTTGTTTGTTTGTTTATTTACTGTCTTACGAGACTTCACGGCGATTGAGGCACACTTTCCTCCTGATTAGTGTTACCATGGAGAGCGTTGCTATGTGACGCTTGTTGATATCCAGGAAGACGCTGGTCAGACCTAGCCCGAAAGGAGGAGAGAAATGGAGGATAACTTTCACCTCGGAGATGCTGGAACAGTAAAAAATGTGAGTGACTCGTTTGAAACGCAGAGACAATAAGGCGATAGGGAAGTGTTAACGTTAATTTTATGCGCAGTATGAGGAGCTGAGACCACACTGTAACGGTGAAGCGAGGCTAGTGCTAATCACTTAGCTATCAAGCTAATATAAACCTCAGTATTAGCCGGCCAGGGAGTGTGGTAGCTATTTTAGCTGCCTGTTGCCAGCAAAGGCACGTCATCATTTGCTAGCTTTGAGCAACAGTGGCAGGGAGCTTTGTCTATGAGTATCCAGCTAACGTTAACTAAACGGTTAGCCCTGCTAGCCGACACTTCCCGACATGCACCGCTGTGTTATGCTGATGGTGTGTTAACCGTTCGGCTTTCTGTACGTGTGTAACTCTGTAACTCTGTAACTGTTACTATATCGAAAAACTTATTTACCTTCATATTCTGGTGTAACTACCTTAATTCAACTGCTATCATAACCTTTTTCCATAAAAGGCAATTTTGTTATATTTGAGCTCCTGCTCTTACCCAGTGGTAGAAATACTGCAGCTAGTTAAAATGCTTGGATTAACATTTATATCCCTGTATGCTCCCTGCTGGTCATCACTTTAAAATATTTGAATTTACACCCAAGTATTGCAATGCTATTTGTAATTTCCCATTTTTTTCTAACAACACAGCACACACATTGCTTAATACTGTAGTCATAGAAATAAGGTTATTAGAGAACACCTCTGCAATCAGAATGGACTCTCAGCAATTCAACTACATTTAACAAGTCCATCTCCAATTTCATTTGTCATTATTAAGGCAGAGGTCAAGATAAGCATGTCCACTGGGTCTTTAAAGGATTAATACTCAATTTCGATCTCTTTATTAGTTGTTTTTAAGCCATTGGTACTATTGACCTGAAAGTACTAAGATCAACTTCACTACTCCTCCTCTCCCTTTGACCAACATAAAATGTATTGTCCTACTGGTCCCACATCACCATCAACAGTCACGTAGGCTCCACTTTCACAGAGATAATTGAAGGTCGGTGAGTTTGAAGATGATGATGCTCATTTGTTGAAGGATGTTCCTAACAGATGCAAAAAAGAAAATATTATTGCCACATCTGCACAGTGTGACTTCACAGAGGTGAAAATTGTATAAAACTATTAAGAAAAAGCCTACTAAGCACCAAATGTGGTTGGTTTGTGCATGTGGACTAACCTGACCTACTGTATTTTGTGTGTAAGTACATTTAGACAACATTTGGTTGGCTCATTAGATGGCACATTTAAAGCAAAGCGAAACCACAAAGTCTCTGTAGCAATCGCAAGTGCCAACTTCTGGCTTTCTAAAATCTAAATGTATTTTCCACGTTAAAATTCTGCACATTTCCCAGGTTGCGAAGTCTGGACGGAGGGCTCGCCTTGCAGCTGATCAATCTTCATTTGAGGATTCTCGTTACGTAAGGAAGTCCTCCACCTCTGCTTCAATGGGAGAAGTATGTAATCATGTCACAATAGACAGTTAGTTGCATGTTATAATTTCACCTCACAATAAGCATCACCAATAAGCATTTTGGTTTTGTCTCATACATAAATCAAAGGATGAAGATGAGGTAGGTAGCATGAAAAAATGTATGTCTTTGCATGGCTTCTGTTGCTAATGCTCCAGACATCAACTTTATACCATTTACCATAGTTTTGGATTCATTAACACGAGTAACCATAATCGTGTGCTTCAGTTCAGCTGGTTGAATTTGCTATCTAGACCTTCTGAGATACACTACCTCTCACATAACTGCACACCCAGTGACACCAACTTGACACACATGGTATAAAGTTTTAATGGAGTGCTTATTTATGCAGAGACATTTGAGTTGCCATTTTCCTACTTCAGCAGGTTTTAAAGTATACACAGAACATTCAGAGTAGCAGCTCTTCAGTTATTGTCCTGTGTGTATTGGATTTTACGTGCTTGCATGAAGTGTTTTCAAGTGTTACTTCATACAAGCCTGAAAACCCTTTTCGCTTTAGAGTCACACAATACTGTAATTGTTCCTTTGTAAATTGTCCAATTTAAAAACAAGCAGATTACATCATAAACATCCTGATGACTCTACCATCAATTTTCATAAATTCTCTTTTTAATACAGGTTAATTTTACATGAAATGTTGTCATAGTTTCTGTAGTGATCCCTGCCTCTTGAAACATGTTGGATCTAAAGATGCTGAGGATAGACTCAATAAAGGACAGGTATATGTTAGAGAAGTCAGGTCAGAAAGTGACAGTTGAAAAAAATAATAACAAATAATTTCACTATTATTGGTATTTATGGAATCAGTCACATCTCCTGGATTGCCAAACTGTAAACCAGCCAGCATTCCCAAAGCAAAATATTTCAGCAATGCTCTTGCTTTAGGCTAATCTTCCCAAATTAGGCCAACTTCCCTAATGTATGAACCAGTATTCTCGCGCCCTCTCTGACCTGCTGTGCGCATGCAATACATTTTTCCAGAGTGTCGTGTGACTGGGTGGGTTTATTTGCAGTCTTCGTTTATCAACCCTGGCCTCTTCTGCCTAAAATACCCAACTGATTGGTCACATTCCTGACATCCTTTTAAACAAAGACTCAATTGCTTTTATGGGCTCATAGGGTTTGGCCACCACAAGTCCCTTGCCCTGGAGACCATCAGAGAATCCTAAATTAGAAACCACGAGGGCTAAGCTAATTGCCTTGACAGCCATAACTATTTTACTACAACTGTGAGGTTCATATTTGGTCATGCAGAATTGGAGGCACAGATTTGTTTTGTTTCTCAGGACACTTATCATCCTCTCCATTTTTGTTGAGTGAAATAACTGTCATATGAATTTATTACACTCAAAGACACTTGACCTTATTATCTTGTCTCTCATGAAAATTGGTCATTGTCAGAAATACCAAACATTAGCAACTAGAAACTAGAAGGAATTTTTGCAATGTTGCTTAAAAAGCCTCATTGTCATTATTATAATCCTTTCTTGGTGTTAATAAAGAGACAGTTACTAATTACACAAATTGGAGGGAGCTTGTTCAGCCTCAGCTCTCTCGATTAATGGCACTATACAGTGGAGCAGAGTGGGCTCCCCCTCCCTCTGCCCTGCTTAATGATGACATTCAGATTTATAAATGGCTTTGGTGAAGGAACCAGCCATGAAAGATTATTTCTTCTTTCATCATAAAGGAAAGAAATTCTTCACGAGCACTTTGTTCTCTACAGACCCTATTTAGTAATGAGAAATGTTGTGCATTTTTTCTTTTTTCTTTCTTCTAATTCATTTGTGTAGTGCCCACCCTCGTGCGCTCTGCGGAATTCATTCATTCAAGTGCTGGTCTCAGGGTCCCGGTCTCAGGATTGAGATGCATACTGAGCTTACTATTTTCAGAATCAAAGAATGAGAGGGAGAGGGTCATTTTTTTCTGTGAAATCTATTTTTAGGGTCAGACCTACAGGCCCCAGCAGTTCCCACACTCTGCTCCATATGTTTTGCTGCTGGAAATGGACAGTATTGAAAACTATAATAAACAAAACAATGGAGTGCATAGAGATGACTCTGTGCTCCACATACCAGGCATATTGTTTATTGTACAGGAGCTTTTTGGTAGCTTTGGTAGAGTTAAAAAATAACAGAGAACTTTGCTTTAGACAAAATCATTAGCAGGACAATTAAACTTTTTTGCCTTTTACATTAATGCTAAGCTTTGTGGTCTGCTTTTCATGTCAAGGTCTTGATTTTCTGTTGTAGACAAGAGAGCCCTCTACTGGCAAATCTTCAAACTTAAAAAACTAATGAAGACTTTTCTCTTACATGTCTCTTGTTTATGCATTTTGTACCTTCATAAAGCGCAAAATATAGTCTATTCATCACTATGTCAAATAAATATTGTTGTGACCCAATGCAAAATTTTATACAAAAATAATTTTGTGCTTTATTTTCTAGATTAAGGTCTAATAACAGTTAATATGCTTACAAATGTGACTTATTTATCTTCTTTGTGAGTGAGTAAACATCCAGCTAAACTGTTTGCTATTAAAGTTCTCTCTTCTTCCAGCCCCCTCCCCCTAAACCGGCCCGGCGGCAAGGTGGCTGGGCAGAAGAAAGCTCTGGGTCTGGATCTGCCAAGTACGTATCTTCACCTTTTCCCCATCTGCTGTGACTGAACTGAAAGCACGGACCTCGAGCTGTGGTCCTGGGTTATGTGTTATTAATGAACTCTCATGCTGTTGAATGAGCTTATTTATCAGTGCATATTTGGCACTCAGGCGGTGAATCAACAAGGTTAGAGGGAGCCTGTCTGAGCAGGCAACTCTCCATTCGTCTTCATCTGTGAGCAAGGCGGTAATTGACATGGTTAATGCATCAGCCACAGGAGGGCACTGTTAGTCAGCTAGCCACTTCATCACAGGGGTTCAAGCCACTTAATCACCCCTTACCACTGCAGTCTGCTCTTTACATGGGGAGCACAACATGGAGAATTCATGAAATATTTGGAACAGATGGAAGCTGCTTGCCAAAAGCTTTCAACTACAACTAACAAATCTAAATGTAAATACTGCACATGACTAACTGAACATGAGAGTTTTTATTATACTGTAGAACTACCTCTCTTGTTTTCTCTTCCACTTGCCACTGTGCTTCTTTTCCTCAGTCTCAGTGGAGGTGAGAGTACGGGAGACGCATTGAAGTGAACAGGCTCAGTCAATTGTGCTTATTTGCGTAGTTTACTGCACCGTTAGTGCAAGCAGGGAAAACAGCAAACTCAATAGATCTTTCCTTTCTCACAGAAGGTCAGCGTGTCGCTTCTCTGCTTTTACGTAACCCAGCTTGATACCCAGTCTCAAAGCGATTGAAATACAGGAGGTGTAAAAGGGGTTTGCACGTGCATTGATCCTCTCTGAAACAAAGTAAGTAATGGTCCCCCCTGGAACCGGCAAGGACTTTTCCCTTCAATGTCACCCCTCATGCTCAATCACCGCCGTCCTCCTCCCACTAATCCCAGCGCAGAAATCCCGGGATTTGTCGATCTATCACTTCTAATTGACACTAAATGATCTGTCAGTTTATTGATGAACCTTTGAAACCAGGTTGTCACAATATATTTTATCCCTAACAACTTTTTCCAGACAGTTTTACCATGTCTATCGCTTTGCCTTACATGAGTCTTAATCAAGGGGCCTGTAATGTGTCTTAAGTGTCGCCACCCCCGCCCCCTAGACAGGACACAGTCCAAGGGCAGGCAGGTAGGCTCCCTTAGCTCCTCTTTGCCCTGCCTGGTTGGACTCTAGTACCTTCAAGGCTGTTGGGCTGGGCTCAGACAGCATGTACAGTATAAGATAGACAAAGCAGGAGTAAAGATTATTGGCTGAGAATTTGTTAGCTAAATATGTTTTTCATCATTTTGTTTTTTGTCTGGCTACAAAAAGGTGAATTAAGAAGGTTTCACTTCTTCCAATTCACTTAATCAATACATTACATTATGTAATTTAAATGCTAGTTTTATGTATTTAAATTAATGAAAGGTGAGAAGTGATTTTAGAAAATACATGTATGAAGTACTCTGATGTCTTCCTTTACATAATGGAATAAGGTTTATGCACAAGCATTCATTTGTTTTAGGTGATGATGATCCAACTCAGATTGAAATGCCATCTGCTCTGATGGTCAAGTCAAGACAATTTTGTTTATGAATCCCAAAATCACAAATTTTACAATCTGTACAGCATACAAAATCCTCTATCCTTAGATGCTCAGTTCTTATAAGGAAAAACAAAAACCTCTTACATGGGATCAAAAAAAAGGAAGTAACCTCAGGAAGAGCAGCAGAAGATCGATCCCTGTTTTGGTGGAAAAAAGATTAACTATTGTGCAGGTGATACCTATGACATACAAGCTTTAATTTATTTTCCATCTATGTCACTGTGTTAGGTGCCACCGAAACACTGAATCTCAACAATAGGGCTGATTTATTGTAATAAGAACTGCTTAATACTTGTGTTTATATTTATATAAATATACTGTAATAGTACTGAATGTATTACCTTTAAAACCAGGAGGGGGCACTACTCAACTAGGAGATCTACCAAGAGCATTTAGCATCATGAAAAAAAACACATATTTTAGTCTACTAATCAAAACATAACGTAAGGCTTACTCTGCATTGATTCATTTCTTATATGATGATTGATATGGTTAAATGCTTATGGTTGAATCTTAAAAAATAATAATGTGCCAACATTTGTTTTTCTTTGATGTCAAGTTGGATTGCTCTTAAAACAGAGTGTGTGCTAAGAATACCGTGTTGAGGTGGAGAAGTGTTAAAATACACTATTTTGGTGCCTGGCATCCTCTGCTCAAGCTGAGCTGTGTAAATGGAGAGAAGAGAGAGAAGTGAAAATAGCTGTCCGATCCAGCAGGAGATGGGGCTGAGAAAACAGAGGGGAGAGAAGACACAACCATTGTAGACCACACTGTGTCTGATATAGCAGAATTACTATCATTAAATACAGATGAGGAAGATTTATCTATGAAGAGGCTTTGTTCTTCCTGTAATACTGATGGAAGGAAAAGTATGTTTAATTTAATTTGTAACACTTTAATACTTGCTCTTTCTGCTGATATACAGATCTTCAAGGAGACCTGCAGCTGAGGACTTGGAGGAGTAAGTTAACTCAGACACCTCATCCATATTTTAGTGTACTGATTGAATTCAATAACAGTTACATTTTTGTGTGTATGGATAAAAATAGGTCAGTTTTTATTTTGTTTTCTTTGTAATAAAGTGGAAATGGCTCTGTGCTTTCAGATTGTCCTTCGTTGCAGCTAATCCCTGCCTTCCAAGAACACTCACTTAACATGATTAAAAAACAGCGTGACTGAGTTGTCATCACTTTTATTGCTGTAAGGAGCCAAGTTTTCCTGTTATTCTAGTTTTTTTCCCCACCCCCCCCTCACATCATTCTGTGACTAGAAAAGACATCACCATGAGGAGAGGCAGGTAGAGGACGCAGTCGTGCATGTTTTACTCATCATCGCAGTTGGAGCCCGGTACCTCAATGGCTGTTGTCAGGCAGAGGCTTTGTGTGAAACTAAAGATGTTACCCTGCAGAAAAATCCCTTATGTTTTGCTTCTGTCAAAACTGTCTTGTCTTAGTAAGACTTATTCAGACTGCTGCTCCAGCTGGGCTTGTTTTTTTTTTTTTTTAAATTCCTAGAGGTGATCTTGTCCAGGGCATTTAGGCTGGTCACCCAGACAGCATAACAGAGTCTCATAGCACCATCAGTGCCTTTTGGCAGAGGGCACTGTTCTGTAGTCCAGTCAGACTGTAGCATACTGAGCAAGCATCCTGTCTACCATGAGAGAAAGACAAGACAAAAAAAACAGACCCATTATCAAAGCAAAGTAGCCCAGGAGCCAAGTCTCTCACTCCCTGTGATGACCTCACCATTGGGCTTCATTTTTGTAAGCATTAAATAATTCATACTCTCACACTTCCTGTTTCTACAGCCGCCGCCTTCGACCACAAACTCCTAAGGGATCAGATGATGAAGGAGGTAAGAGCACCCTTGCAATACCCCACTCTGTGTCTCTCCTCACAGGTAAAGAGGAGCCCTCCAGTGCGTCCCTGGCACATTCATCCTCTGGAAGTAGAGCAGATAAGCAGGCAGTCAGATCATTCTTATGCATATTTCTCTTTGGATCCAGCATGGATTCATGTGTTAGAACTCTGCCTTTGACCACTGAGCGTGTGACATTGTATAAGCGTAGCCCCTTTGATGAAAATGACAAGTGCATATGCTCATTAAGTAAGGTTAGATTCATAGTTGATGGAGAATATTGTGACAGGATTTAAGTGTTTCCCTCACCACCCAGAGCAACACAGTTAGTCACACACGTGCACACACAGAGTGTCAGGCAGGTGCTGTTGAATACAGATCTAGTGGTTACATTGCTGCTTTGACTGAGTCACCTGAGGGCCCAACTCTGCACTCCACAAACAATGTCAGGACTGGGGGGGTTCAGCAAAGCCGTGCCTGGGATAATTGTTCTATTTTGCAGTGCAAAGCAGCTTGGAAATAGGTAAAACTGCCTTAGGAAAGATAGGTTAACGGCATGAAATGCTCAGTTTACAATACTGAAGGACTACATCACACCTGCGATTTATAAACAAATATCATTTTAGATTATAAACCTTTTTGGTAGACCTTGCTTATTGCTACTCTGTTTAAAAATGTCCATCATTTTTAAAAATTCTGAATATTGCAATACATGCAATTCAGAATAGCCAGGCAAAGAAAAATAATTTATACAACTCAAAACATGAATATCAGAATAATTGATAATAATATTACTAATAATTAATATTTAATTTTTTTAAATGTATTTTCATCCCATGAAGTCAGTTTTTTTTTTTTTAATCACCCAAGCTCAAGTGTATATTTCACACTATTTTGCTACATACTGTATTGTATATACATTTTAAAGTCTTACTTGCTGTTGCATCTTGTTGAAAGTGGGGAAATTATTACAAATGTATTACAGAACTGAAAATGATAAATAACAATGGATTGTAGGCATAAACTGCAGGGTGTAATCCACTGTTTCTATTACATATACGTATACACACACATAATGTTATATTGTCAGTACACTGGCTAAAATGGCCAGTGTGCTGACAATATGAAGAGTCCAGAGGTTTGGTTCTCTTGCGGTTAATGCCGCCGGAAAGATTATTACTCTGTGGAGGGAGACCTCTTAATACAGAGCCGGAGGCAGGGGCATTGGAAATTACAGTGCTGAGGGTTAGTGAGATAGCCCCTGCGATCTTGATTATGTCCTCTACCCTTATCCCTTATGTCCACTGGCTACAAGCACAGAGGGAGAAAGAGAGAGAGAAGGCTAGCTCAGTCCCCTCCTCCCATCTCCCGATCAGCTGCCCCCACAGCCTCCTACTGGTCACTTAAAAGTAGCACCGGTATCGCAAACACACTCATGTGTTTCATGTGTCAGTGTCTTACTCTCAGTCGATGATTTGTTGAATATTGTCCCATAAGTAATTTCAAATGGATTCTGTGCCAAGGTAATCATTTGACTGGACCCATGCATAGTGATGTGGAGAGACGTCCTGTTCTCCAAAGTTGCTGACCGGTGTGTGCCTGCCGGGAGTATGTCTCTACATTCACAGCAAATTATCCCCTTTTGATATTTACATGCTTCAGCGAGGAAGCCGGACGCGACCGTGTAATAAGGATATGCATGGCCTGCTCGCTGCCAAACAAAAGCCACATTGATACATGTCCAACCGAGGGAAGGAAGTCAGAGTAGGTGATGTGTGCCGTGCTGAAGAGAGACATCTCCTCCTGATGGAGTTGCCCTTAGCGTCAGAAGAAAACACTGGCTTGTTTGCAACTGCTTTGATGCCCTGCTTGACCTCCAGTAATAGGTTGAATTTGAAGCTCATCTAAAAATGTTGTTGTTTTTTTCACTAAATAATAGACTTTGCATATAGACAACATATGCCTCTCTGCTTCACATTGAACCCTTATGGAGTGTGTTAATAGTGTATTAGTGGCTGAAATGAAAAGGGAGTGTGAACAGATAGACAACCCAGGAAGCTGTTTGCAAAGAGTTGGACAGCAAGGCTTTTTGATGTCATTGCACTAAGACCATTAAATTTGATTGGGGGTCCAGGGGGGACGGATTCTGCTGAACGCTGTGCTTTGTAAATGAGAGGACAAAGTGTCACCGGGGCCTCATGAATATGAAATACCCGCGCCTGCATTTATTTGGATATCAGAAACACAGATGAATCTTGTCAGCAGCTAAACGAGCGTGGCATTTTTAATTTGGTTTAATTAAAAAAGAGAAAGAAATAAGTTATCAACGGAGGGTGAGGTTTTGTTATCTGTGGAAAGTTGATGGGTTCGGCTTTGACCAAGTTGTCTTCAGAATTCTTCCTCCATCTGAGAAATATGTTCAGAAACAAAATCATTTCTCTTCATTGGTGCACTCCATAACTTTCATGGAGTACAGAAATTTAGAGTTCCATCAATGATCGATATTTTTCTTCAACTCCACTTTATTTTCAGGAGTTATTTTGAAGGAATGGTGACATAGATGCCAAGATATTTCCTCACATCAGATGCAGACTTCCATCTCTTCACCTCTATTTAGCTCCTCTATTGACTTTCCCCTCAGGGTGCAGTACTGTGGTTAGAGATTACTGACAACCCTCTCCATGCAGTTCAGCTCTCTTTTTCTCTCACTATCTGTCTGTTCCTCCCTCTGTGCTTCCTCTCCCTTTCTCTGTGTCTATGTCACTGTGTCAACTATCAGCTGTACAGCTAATAAGGATGCGCAATCTGCTGCCTCCCCAGAAAATATCGTGTATCTTGCCCAAAGTTAACACAATTTCTATAAGGACACCTGTGAAGTCTGTAAAGTTTTTGGCAACTGTTTTTAACTACAAAAAAATGCACATTGTTCAGTTCAGTTCCAGTTTCAGTTTTATTAGTCATATGTAGGTTAACACAGGGTCAACGGTACAGTAAAATGTGTTTGGTGAGACAACAGGTCAGCTCAGCAATAAGAAACACAAGTCATATTAAATAGAATACAAGATAAAAAAATAAAGATGGGATTAGACATAGATAAAATATAACAATATAAACATAAATGAAAATGAGGATTTATGTATAAAAGTGAAACTTAAGTGTGTATGCAACAGAATTGCACATTACATATGTAGCAGTCCTGGTTCAGAAGTGTAGTAAACATCAGACAGTGCAGACAACCAGCTAAGCAAATATGCAATGTGGAATGTTTAGATGTATGAGTTGAGAAGCCTGATGGCCTGGTGAGAAAAGTCTGTGTGCTGGGTGGCTCTGGTCCTCGATGATGCTGTGTGCTGCTTGCAGGCACCACTGGGGGAAGATATCCTTGAATGGCCGGGAGTCTGTTGTTGTAGATCCTGTATCAGACCGTGATGCAGCCCGTCAGCAGACTCTCGATGGTGCACCTGTAGAGGTTCATGAGGAGAACTTCCTCAGTCTACTCAGGAAATAGAGCTGCTGGTGAACTTTCTTGATCATGGTGTCAGTGTGTAGAGACCAGGGAGGTCCACTGAGGAACTTGAAGCTGCTGACCCTTTCAATCTCTGCATCACCAATGTGGATAGGGAAGGGTCCACGCCCCTGCTGCCTCCTGTAGTCCACACTCATCTCTTTAGTTTTACTGACGTTGAGAGACATGATAAAACATAGAACACATTTTTGGCAAAACATTTAATGGTTTTTAAGCCCTACATTTTTCTTTTGTTATACACTACCTTTTTGATAATAAGTATAAGCACAAAGTCTTTGAACACATTTTAATGAGTCTCTTTATTCATTATTAACCATTAATCTTATTTCCAACCAATTCTTCTAATCCCTTATTATACCTCTCTTATTTCCCTGCTCCAACAAATGTCCATCTGAAAAATGCTGTGAAAGTTTGCCCTGTCCTTCTTGGGAGTGGAGCCATCCTCTGTCCTGTTGCGTTTTGCCAATTAAAGTGGGTTCCCACTGTTTGAGCAGCGGGCTGGCGGCTCCTGGCACTGCAGCCCCTGCCAGGCCGCACTGTGACTTCCGACCCCACACAGATGGGCCCGCAAGCAAATACTCTTGCACATGGCTGGATGCCGCCCCAGTCGGAGTGGCAGAGTGGACATGGAGGTCGGCCTACCGGCCACTGCAGGTCCTGGGGGTGGGCGGCGCTGACAGGGCCCAAATGCTAAGGTAGCAGGGGGTGCTTTCTGGGGAGCCCCTGGCCAGCGGCCCTCTCACAGCAGGAGGAGCTGCCGCCTCGCCTCCTGAATATTCATGGCCGCATGGCTATTGTGACAGGGCAGCTCTTATGAGAATGTAGGTAGAGAGAGGGAGGGGAGAAAGTGCCACACAGACATGGTCTCACATAAACATACTCATACAAAAATGCACGCTTCTTGAAGCCATACACAGGGGACTTACTGCATTTTTTCAATAAATGACTCTGGCTACTGATTAAATTTTTCACAGTTTGACACAGTTTAAAACGTAAACAGATCTGTAAAATGTGGTCTCTATTTTTGGTTCTTAGATATTCCAGTGATTCCAGATCTTGAAGAAGTACAGGAAGAAGATCTCACAATGCAAATTGCAGTTCCACCAAGGTAGAGTACGCCTTAAACTCTTAGAAGTTTATCCTTATCACTCATGTGACCCATGTATGACAGTTAACCTCTGTCCGTGCACAGGACACTACATCCGTAGCCTGCTCTGGTGACTTTGATGGTTACCTGTCCTCCACTTGTGCCATTGCAGAGTGTCTTGCTTTATCGGCTGAAATGGAGAAATAACAGTTGGGTGTGATTTATGCAACTCTGTTACCAGGGTCCTTACTAACTGGGCCCTTTGATTTACAGGGCAGTGAGAGACACGCCGACATGTGTCGAATATGTAGCAAGGCTATGACAGCGGTGGAGGTTATTAGGCTGGGGCTTGCTCTCTGTGCGAGATAATATCCACATTGAACTCATTGCGGGGGCAATGTAGCGTGTAATGTGCAGTAAGTAGGACTGGCATGCACTGCTAGGCCCCGGCCACTTTGAGGGCCCCCCCCCCACTTAATTCCAACCCACAGATAAGCAGCTGGGTTTCAATTTGAAGCGTTTACCACTTGGCAACCATCTCCTGCTCTCTGTGGTCTTTGCTTGAAGTCTTGGAGCCTCATTGTGCACAAACTCCAAACTTTGTCAAAGCCACTTCTCAGTCGTGGTTTGCTGGTAGTGTGAACGCACTGCAGTCAGGATGGCTATTTTTCTCTGGTGTGTTGTCTTGAGTAGATTGTTGTCTGTTCCTGTATCAGAGGCCTACTCTGACTTTCTGTCACCCTGTTAGCATCCAGGTGAACCGGGTAATGACCTACAGAGATCTGGACAATGATCTGAAGTATTACTCTGCCTTTCAGACCTTAGTAAGTCAAGAACATTTATTTTTGTATGTGTTTGATATTCGAATGTCTCTTCTCGTCAAGGTGGTTAATTTAATTTTGCAAACAACATCACTCCTGTTTGTGCAAGCTAAGTGAATTTTACTGTACTCCTTCTTTAGGACGGAGAGATTGACTTGAAGCTCCTCACCAAGGTTTTAGCACCAGAGCAGGAGGTGAAGGAGGTGAGTGAGTTTTTAGTAAATATAGCTTGTGAGCTCCCAGCAAAGGCCTGTCCAGCTGTTTCTAGAGCACCAGGGGAGGTTGCCACTCTGTCTCTCAGGTAATCAAGATTTATGATGTGTACATTAACACCCTCTGCTCTCCTTCCCCCATTCTCCTCTCTTTGCTCCCTCTGCTCCCCATGCTCTCTTTCTTAGGATGTCACCCTCTGCCTCTCTAATTCTTCTTTTCTCCCTCTCTTTTGTCTCTTGCTCTGCAGGATGATGTGAGCTGGGACTGGGATCATCTGTTTACAGAGGTGTCCTCAGAGCTGCTGATGGAATGGGATCAAGGAGAGAGTGAGGAGCAGGCTGCATTGCCTGTAACATGAGGAGGAGGTTTGGACTGAGGCTTTAAATGGCTCCAGTGGGAACTGGATGAATGGCCATTACACAGAAGGGCCGGTGACTTTGGTTATATTAACTTTAATTACTGTTTGTTATCCAGGATTTATATTCTATAAAGTGTATATTCAACATGTCTTCTATTTTCTAAATAAAGTTTACTGAGGAGTGGACGGTGCAGTGTTGTCTGACCCTGTATATTGTTGAGGTTTTTGACTTTCACCCTTTTTTTTGTTAGTTTCTAAAACAGCCAAAAGGCAAAATGATTTTGTTTGAAAAGCCCCCCTAAAAAATAGCTGTCACAAATACAAATGCCCTCCCTGTAACTGCCAGCATTATCAACACCCTCATACAAGTCCAAGGTTGATAATCAGCTAAGCTGAAATCCAGTTGATTGTGTTCAAATTAACATTCCTCATTAAAGCCTACAACCTTATTGTTATTGACTGTGCCATTGACTTTATCTTCCAGCTCTTCGATAGGAGCAACCCCTTCTTCACTATTATCTCCAATGCATTGAACAGAGTTCCTATTGACACCTGGGGGATTAGCATACATTATACCTTTTGCTGGATAAAGAGGAATGGATGCAAGTCTGGCAGAAGACAGCTGCTGGTGTCAGGTATGTGTTCTTTAAAGTGAAAGAACAGAAATCCTCACAACAATGTGATAACTGAATAAAGTACGGACAGCACAGGTCACAGGACATTGTATCTCACACATTGGCACAAAATCTGATATAATTTATGAATTACATTGTATACCATGCCTTCAACATGTGCTGGTCGCATGTATCAGCATTCAGTTTTGTCTTTGGTTCATGTGTGTGAATATAAAAGCAGGCCTCCAAAGTCAGACCAGGTCTATTAGAGAAACAGCTGTAACATTTACAGATTGTGATTAGGTTTATTTCTGAGGCAGCGAGCGGTCTCATGGCATTTGGAGATGCACAGCAAAGTCCTCAAGGACACACGATCTATGCATCTAACAGCTCAATCACTGCCCATCACAAATAGATCCAGATTTTTTCATTTGGTGAGCCTTGAATCAACTTCATCAAGTGTAATACCTCAGGACAAAGCTATCACACAGGATATTTGTGCTCAGAATATTTGTGTGGCAGAATATTTGTGCTCAGTGTTCAAATTCAATGAGTGATCTCTGTTTCTGTTTCTCTATCAGACATACAAACGCACAGTTTTTTACCACCTCCACAATTGGCTTATTTAGCCAGACTTAATGAATTCTGCCCATATGCCCTGAGCAGCTGCTATGTTGCCCCTTCCTCCCGCCCCTGCCGAGCTGCGAAGTGCCCATCCATGTAGAGACAACCTCTAGCTGTCTCTCTGGAGAAGGCTAAGCCTGCCACTCCTCTGCTGGCAGCCGGCCGGTGCTGTCTGAGGTGGACTGCGGACGGGCCGGGGACTCAGATTAGGGCCCAGTGATCACGGGTTGTGGCCGGCCTCAAATGATTGGCCCGAGCATCGGTGGATCAGAGAGGGGATTATAGAAAGAGAGAGAGATCCAGAGATGCTGTTTGGCATGTGCTTGCATCCAGCTTCTCAAAGTGACCTCTTCCCACTCCCTCATCCTGCTGCTCTCTTCTCCTCCTTTATTCTCGCGCTGTCTCTCGGCGTGTACAGTATATCCTGATGCTGCAGTGAAGCTGTGAATGACCTCTCACTGTCTGGGTGCATTGAATTCAGTCACGTCAACAGTGATACAATATATACATTATTTCTAGTGAGGAAGACAGTTGTGTTCTTGGAGAGCTTTGTGGTTATGACGGTAGCTTTCAGATGAACATTGTGTCACTGGGAGGTTAGTGAGTCTGAAGCCACATTGATACTGTGTATAACAGATAAGACGATACAGGCCACACATGGGTTTAGGGTGTCATCTGTTTTTCCTTGACATTTTTCTATTAAAATAATGGAGCCGTTACTGCTATAAAAATCCACATTGCTCCAATACATGCTTCTGTAGTCCAATATTTCATTCAAAATGTTGCTGTAACGACACAATGTTTAAAATCCTTTGATTTGATGGGACGTATGTGACACCATGGCACACAAAATCTCGAGTTTATGTAGGAGAAGAAGTTTTCTCGTGTGAATTTACACTGTTTATTTTTAAAGCAGCGATTTGTTAGACCCACTGTAAAACCTTGAGGCCAGTATGGACCAGCTGAGCACAGGGACTTCTCAGGCCACTGGGTTTAAATGGGTAATTTATCTGTGTTTTTATTGGGTCCCTTGGTGGAAATGACTTTTCATTTTGTGGCAAAGAAAACAAATGCAAGGAAGTAATACAATTTTAATAAAAAACGGACGAAGGACCCATTAATGTAATGTTTTCCTGCCCCTTGTTGACAGGCTTGTCTTAATGTATTTTGATATTGGGCGCTAATTGGAAGGATAGAATAGAGATAATATGCTTCCAGCTCTAGCTAATATGCTGTGGTGTTGACAGAAGTTTATACATCTTATCTGGTCTCAATATCTGCCTTCCATATGGCCCAAAAGCAATATGCTGAGGTGTAATTAAAGAAAATGGGGAGATGTGGAGATAGCTGGGGCCCGACGTCAGGGCCCCTCAGACACAGAGTGAGGGGTGAGGACAGACATGCTAAAGCTCAAGGAATATTAGGACCAGTTCATTCCACCAGGGGCCGCGTGCCTGTCACAGGTTCCCTGTCGCTGACCTGACCAGCACTGCATCAGTCAGATGCCGTGAACCAGCCACAAGAGGATGATTATCAGTTTAAAAAGGCAAGAGCATAAAAACACTCAGCTTTTTATGCTAGGGCGAGATTATGTTTTACACATTAATTTGTAACATAAATATATGCAAGGTCAATTTGAATTCTGATGGTAGAAATAATAAATGCAAATGCAACCATATTCAAATGGATCTTGTGCCCTTTGAAACAAGCCTCAAAAAGCAGCCACAGTATTGATTTACCACAAAGACTTCATGATATTTCAAGTTTAAAGGAGAAATCCTCACCATACAACTAAGGCAGTCAGATCAATATCATTTTTTGATCAAAAGGGGATTTGCCTTTGAAATAGCTAGATTAAACAGATGTTTTATTTTTCATATACTGCACCTTTAAAAGCCCGCAGGGGATTGTGGGAGAGGAGGGGGAATTACTCCACAAAAGAGACAATGAAAGTGATATTTTTTAAGACCTAAAGTTTGACGGGTTGAAAAGTATTTTCAGTTTTGTCAGTGCTATTTTCCCCTCTCTTCTTTAGTTAATATTCTATCGCTCCAAGTCCTTTTTTGTTTACCCCAGGTGGGCTTGGACATGAAATGGCGGGGACGGTGGCAGCTTGGAATGCCCCTGGGCATCTTACGGCCGTCATGTTGTCAAAGGACCCGGGAGGGGGAGTGAGAGGGCTGGGATTGTTTTTTTCAAGTATAAACCATGAGACAGGGAAAAAAAAAAAGCTTCTGTTCTTTTGGTAACTGTGAGATTAACTGAATTCATTATTATTATTTCCCTCCTTTCCCCTCATATGTTTTTAGTGCGGCCGAGGGTTGGAAGGCGAGACGGGTTTGAACATGAAATACAGTCGGGCTCCACATTTGTCATGTATTTTATTATTTCCCTTCTTCACCTCTCAGTCCTGTACGCGAGGTCCTTCATTTTTCACATGACTGGTTTTCTTATCATTGTGAGCCCTCTCCGCTGGCCTATGAGTGACTTAAAGGCAATAAAACACAAAACATTCTGTAAAACACGGATGCCTCTCTAGTCATCGAGGCCCTGCAATGCCTCTCCGGGAAATTATGATAATAACTCAGTGGCGGTTGGAGTGTCCAGGTCGCTGTGGGGGACTGGGGGCAATGGGAAAAGGTTCACCAAGGTCCTCTGAGCAGGGACAGGTCAAGGTGGCCTGTTGGGCCTCACCACCCACCCCCTTCTGTCATAAACTCTTTCCATCATGCGGGATTCCGGCTGCAGCCAGGTATACAGCAGAACCTCTTTGTCTTGTAGCTGCTGGCGATAAAGCAAGGGCTGATGGGAGAGTGGTTGTGTTGGCCCTCTGGCAGTGGCGAGGTCAGCCGAGGAGCTTATCATGGCCAGCAGAGGAAAACGCCTGAGTCAACACAACTCCACGATTTGCCCTCTGAGGGTCACAAACACACTTCTGCTACTGTGCTTTGAACTTGGTACTTTTTAGTTTTGTTTCTTATGAAAGGAAGTCACAAGGCAGCAAGAGAACTGTGTCTGGTCATAGCTTTTGGTGCCTGGATTTGTTGCTTGGTGGAGGGAGGGGCTGGACGTAGCCCCACAACACCTCTCAAGTGTGTGAATGAGAAGGAGCGAGGACAGGAAGAGAGCACGGGCTCCACCACTGAGGTGCTGACAGAGGGGATCGAGGGGCTGAGATTGCACCTGTTCCGGCCCAGCACCCTCCCAGCAGGGCCTCGCCAGAGTCTCAGCCTTCTCCTGGCATCTGTGATGGGGGCCGGGGCCAGTCCCACCTCCAGCGCTCGCTCCACCTCTTCTTTCCTTGTGGAAGAGAAACGAGAAACGCTAGAGGCTCCATCTGCCGAGGGCTCGCCGCGGTCTCTGCGGCCCGCCTGGGGAAGGGGGTTGCTGGGCCTCCACGACTCTGCCACGGGGGTCTCACAGTGGTAGACCACAGCGAGGCACATCACACGTCACATGCCAGCTGGCCAGGCTCTCTGCACTGTAAACAGAGACTAATGACCACTCAACACACACACACACACACGCTCGCACACACACACACAGGCTTTGGTAGAATGGAGGAGGGGGAGACGTAGGTGAAAAAGCTTGGTTTGGTTTGGAGCAGCATCCTGGGGTTACTTCACAGGATCTGCTGCTGCAGGAGAAACAGTTTGAGCCTGGGGAGGGAGCTCACCGACACAGTGGGATGTTGCTAAAGCTGCTCTGTGGTACTGACTCCATCAGTCCACTACATCACAGTCCACTGGCTTCCTGCATGCGTGCAACATCACAGGCCTCCCAGTGCTCCGCAAGCCCCCGGGCTCAAGCTGGTCCACCCCGCTGAGTCTGTAAAGCTCTCGTGTTGGATCCCTGTCCTGAGGAAGTGCATGTTGTTAGGAATTCTGGGAAAGAATTCTGCACTGGGCTCTGGTTACTTTTTAATAAGTCTAATTCATTTTGGAAGGCTGTTTCTGCTTGTCAGAGCTTTTCACCTCATCAACAACAAATTTTTCCTTAAAATTCAAAATGCAACTTGATCTTCAACATCAGTTAGTCGGCCTTAACTTTACCTAAACTGATACATTTAGTGTGTGGCAGGCTGGCCTTGAGTTTTGTGTTTCCAGAGTGAAGGACATTTGTGTCTTCGTGTTTCTTGTCCTGTCTCATTCAGGATCTCCTTGTCTGTGTCTCCAAAGCTCAGTTTTCTCAAGAATTCCCCTCTTTCAATCAAATTACAATTATTTTTAGCATCCCCCAACCAGATAATATCATAAATGTCCTGCTATCTCATTTGCCCTAATGTCCCCAACACATGCATTTATAGATATAAATATATATAGGGATATAAATAAATATATCAAATACAGGATAGGAGTAAAGTGACATTGAGTGTTATTCCCCAGTTAGGCAAGGAGAGACAGGGAGGTCACTCGGCTACACTGAGCCACTGGCAGCCCGGGCCCCCCTGGTCCACTAGAGTGACTTGGCTTCATCTACAAACTCGCAATAAATATCTGGCCATCATTTATTTTAATTCACTCCTTTCTTGCTCAGATGGAATGGATTCTTAACCTTGTAGGACAAGGACACCCGCATGCTGCCTGCCTTGCCTTAGCTGCTAAATTATTCTTCATTCTTCAGGGGGAATAAAAAAAAAAAGGAGTCCAGCGTTGCTCAAACTGTCAGCTCCAATGAAAAGCACGCCTGAAAACGTTGTCACTGAACCCCTGGACAAGGAAAAGAAGGGGAGTGGGCAGTCAAAGACAGAGTGAGAGAAGTGGGGGAGAGAGAAAAGGGGGGAAGGGGGGAAGGAGGGGGAGTCAGCAGCCTCCAGAGTGATTTATTTGCCAAATCAGGACACAATGAGTCGATTATGAGTCCTCTAATAAGAGAGAGTGTTTGGGGACCCACTAATTGGGCATGATTGAGTTGCAGTCTGGGAGCTGGGCGAAAAGGGAACCTGGTCGGCGGCTGTCATGCAATCATCAGCTAATCAGAGCTTTGAAATTAAAACTGCGTGTTTAGAGTAGAGGACGGGATAATGGCAGGGACCTGCCTGGGCTCTGAGGCTGTCTGAGGAGGCTGTCACGGTGTGTGTGTCTGTGAGTGTGTGTGTGTGTATCCGTGCGTGTGTGTGTGTGCGTGTGTGTGTGTGCGTGTGTGTGTGTGTGTGTGTGTGTGTGTGTGCATGAGTGTTTGTTTGTGCATGTGTGTGTTTATAAGTACAGTATACATGTGTGTGCAGTGGATAGGACAGATTATTGTATGCACTGTGTGTGTTTGGGGCCTCTTGTCTCTGACTGTGGTCTGCGTTGGTCTTGATGAGGACAGTGAAGGAGCTGTAATCAGCCCAGCCCTTGCACCAATGTGTGTGTCCTCAGCTGTTTAGTCTGTCTCCAGGTTTATGACACAACCATATGTTATTTTATATGAACACAGAACCTGCATTTTGTAATTTTACAAAATTAAATCTTATCTAATGTAATACATTTTATTGTCAAGAATTCAAATTATATAAATTTCTAAGGATTTGTAGCAAAGCCTTGGAATAATATTGATTTTCAAATTTATAAACATTTACATAGCTATTTTAAATGTAAAATTGAACAAGAATATAATTACATGTGTAGACTTTTCATCTGTATAACATGGTGTGAGACAAAACTACAAGTTCTCATTTTAAGCTAAACAATCTGTTAAAAGGTAGTTATCTATTATGGCTCCATGCTACTGAAGTTACACAGCTCTGTAAGGCTTAAATAAATCAGGACTTTAAAAAAAAAAAAAAGTGTACAAGAGGCTTGTCGTTGTCGTGTCTGTTATATATTTCAGTTTGAACAGTTGTGTTCACGTGTCGTCACTAGGGGGCAGTGTTTATCTGCATTGCATCGCGAGAGTAAACAGACGGGGCTAATTGATGTCAGGTGCTTCCTCTGGTCGTGTGGTTGAAACAGAGTTGCAAAGCAGAATATTACAACAAGCATTCAATATAATTAGAGCAACCGTGTCAGAGGTAAGATGGAGACACTGCTTTTAAAGACAATAAGTGTTTTTTTTCTAACTTATTTAAGTGTATTTGGACAGGATGACCTGAGCTGTGCCGACTTCATGGACAATATTTAAAGACAGTTACTCCACGAGCTTGTAGACGGCCCCTGTTTTATGCTAAACTGTTAGAAATATTAGCATTAGCATTGTATTTATTTTTAATTTTTAATTGTTTTTTTTTCAAACGTTGGGTTTCATTTATTGGAAAGAATAAATGTGGTGACCTGTGAGATTGAAGAAAGTCAATGTCAGTCTTGTAAAACAAAACAAATCAAGCTTTTGGTCAACAGTTGATGGTGCAATTTTATTCTTTAATTTTCTACCCTAAACACTTCATCATTCTCATTCACTCTTAAGTAACATATTTGTTCTAAAATGTGGGCTCTCAACCAAAAATTGCTATAATATTCTTACATATTCCCCTTGATAAACTTATGGATAGTTATAGCCTCTGGTTCTCAGTAGTGAGTTTATACTGATGTTAATTTAGGTTTGCGTTGTAGTTTTAGATTTAGGATTTTTAGCCAGTAGCCTATTTGAAATAATTATAGTGATAACTGTACAATACCCTTCTAAAACATATTATAGTATTAATTTATAAAGTATGTGTAATCATTTTATGTTTTTCCCTCATTACAGAAAACATACTGCTAGACTGAATGTGCGCAGGGATCCTTGGGTCAATGCTGCGTGGGATTTGACTGCAGAGATTACTGTAAGTGTAATAATGCATTCTTTATCTTTTCAATGGTAATATAAAATATCCTCTGATTCTAGAAATATAATGATAATGATTTTTGAAAAAATCCCTGTATGTAAATTATGCCGCTGTAATCATTTATCATCATCAAATCATTATTTCAGATTATCAGTCGCAGTATAGAAGATATTTGCAGTTTTCATTTATCTCATAATTAATATATTTACATTTCTTCTTCTTGTTGTCTATGCTGTAATAATAAAACTAATGAAGCATTGAGATACTTAAGTCAAAGCACCCGGCATTTGGTGCAGAAATGTCTCAAAAACGAATAACTTTCAGTTTTTTAAGTGTCAGTATTTCAGTTTCCTGCCTGTGTTTACAAATTACCCACCAAACAAACCAACACTCACAGTATTTCTTTCAATCCTCCTAAGGCCTTGTCTAATTGTAAATGCGCCTTACATCTAAAGAGGGCCTCACTATAAAAATCTGAAGTGGGTTTAGGCACAAATGGGATTAATTCCCAAAGAATGTCCTTTGCTCTTCCTCCCATAATTTCATTTGCAGGGTCCACAGGATGAATAGCCAAGCAGGCAGTGATGTGGAACTGGAGGACAGGCCTTGCGGGGCCTGTGCTGCTACACCACAGCCTTCAGGTTATGTTACCTTGATAATGTCACAGCTGCAGGAACCACACCGCCCACCGTACAGGACACAGGAAATCCAATTATCCGCCTTCTAATGTGTGGGAATTTTACGCTCTCATTTCTTAGACTTTGGCTCCAGCTCTGCCCGAGGGCAAACCTACCTGAGAAAGATTCCTGGGATTGTTATTTATTTATTTACCAGGGAAAATGTCCACTGGCTTTTTGTCTGAAATCAATATTATGAGAAAGTTGTAGTGGAATCTGAAAGAAAATAGTTTTTCTCAACAAAACCAATTGCTTAAGATTTAAAAGATTTAAAGAAAAGATTTATTAAATCAGTTTAATTGACTTGACTTGTGCTGTTTCATAGATACAGTAACTTGGCTCCACATACAACACACAGTTACACACAGAAAGGAGAAGAGGAGCAACCCTGATTCGTCCTGGAGTCAGCCAGGTCTTTGTGACGGCTGTATATGGGAGCAGGTCCCCCACCTGCCTGGACCTCCGACTGTTTTTTGATTTAATTAAAAGGAAGAGGGTGCATCAATTTCAGCCGCGTGGCGGGGAGATGACAGTACACAAATTGAAAGTAAGCATCTCTGTGGAGCAGGGAGGGGGCCGGTCCATCATTAACATGGAAGACAATTCTGTGTGCAATGTAACCAGATTAGAAACATTATTATCATTCCACCGCTAGACATAAAGCCCTGCCACAGAAAGAAAAAAAAAATCTCATGAACGCTCTTTACTCAGGACACGGGTGAGACAGGTTTGAAAAAACAGAAACTGTAGCATGGTCGTCATGATATTGAGCTGAATCACATACCTGCATAAGAAAGTGTTTTTATACTGTCTCAGAAAATATGTAGTCCATCCCTAAGGGAGGTTTCATATTTTCCGATACTTTACCCCACACAGCAGTGATTATGTATCTCAGAAGTGATTATGTATCCACCCCCCCTTATCCCCTCTCTGCTGAATCTCCAGCACAGATCCAGTGTTTCGGCGATAGGGTTTACTTTCGGGCCGATCCAAAGGAATGTGAATGGGCTCTGAGCTGCAGGAGGAGCCCTATTAATGAACAGTAAAGACAGATGAGTCTCTCTCATGCCAAGCAGGTTGCCTCAATTGGATTAGTGAAGCTGAGATTGGGATGGATAGCTGTCTATGTGCCAAGTGGCCATTAGCTCGGCCAATATGCCAATATGACTGTACACAAAACAGGCTCAGGATTCCCCTCAGTGATCTCAACACTCAAAGTAGAGTCAGCGGCTGTGGATTTCTGAAGCATTAAAACCGTACGAACATATTAATGAGCAATAAACATCTATCAGCTGTGATAATACGAGGGTTAAACAGTTGATTTAATAGCTGACGTCACCTGAGCTAGTTTCCCGTATCGCCTTTATTCTTCAGGAAATACAAATATCAGTGTGTGGTACAAGTGATCTGTCAATGGCTGTCACGCTGTACTTTATGAATGGAAAGCTGCCCATTCCTGGCATGTATCTGTGTTTCCGAGGCTGATGTCATGTTCTCCGCAAGCCGATGACGGGCACTGTAGATGTCAGTGGACACCAGAGGCCCTTCTCCAACCAACTATACAAATGGGCATGAGTGTGAAGAGCTGGGGAAATGTTATCAATCACCCTGCGTCCCAGCGGAGGAGCTGCTGGCTTTTGTGTAGAGAGTCCCACTCATACTGATCCATATAAAAGGCTGTGTGATGTATTAGAGCAGATGAGCAGGGGCCGGCTCTGACACATGACTGACAGCTCATTTGACAGCCCCAGGAAAGTGTGCAGGGAAGTTTCAATCTAATCTAATGCTGCTGAAGGAATGAAATTGTGGTGTGAGATTATGTTTTCATGTTATATCCCCTCTAGGACAACACAGGCTGAATGGGATGAATATGATGTGGATGACCCCCCGGTCTAGAAGGTACGGGTGCCTATGGAGCCAGACGCCACAGTCGACTCTCAGTTCAGACCTCCTGACCCGTGACTCCCGCCTAAATCCACTTCTGTCCAGTGAATCAGATTTCTGAAGAAAAAACAAGAAACCGAAACCAGGCTCAAAGCTACATCTGTGAGTAAACAAAAACAATTTTGTGTCATGCATTATCAACCAGCTGTCTCGCGGGGCTTTCCATACAGGTAATCTCTGTCATTCAATCGCTCCACCGCAGGACCTGGGTCCTCCTGAAAGAGGATAGCACCAAAACAGACATTAATATTAAGTGCAAGGGAGATCATCTTCTCTTTGGGCTGCTCTCCCCTCCCCTTTTTTCATAAGAGCAGAATATTTGGGTAGGCCACCTGCATCTTGAAATCAATATTCCCAATCCTGCAGTATAGGTTTACACTGATATTATTGTAAGCATTATCATATAATAAATGTCATATTTATGGACATAAAAAGCTGACTTGTAAAAATATTTCCACATACCACACGCAGAGGTCACAAAGGTCATTGAATACTTCTTAATTACAGCAGAAATGTAAAATTATTTTACCAGAAAACTATTAAACGCCAGGAGACTCAAACCTCCCAATGCATGCCACCACTATGATTAATCATAGAGGGCTAATTAGCCATTTTACAGCTATTTAAAAAGACACTCAACCCTTTTCATTATGCCCCATCTATTTTCCCACCATTATGGCCTCTTCTCTTTTATTTTTCAACTTTTGAAAGTTATTAGAAACTTCTGCTGCACTGAGGAATAAAGCTTTCCATGTTCGTCACACCAGGCTTTCTTTTGCTCCGACCACGTTTTATTCGTAGAATGAGGTCAACAGTTGGCCCGCGAGCGTTGAGTGTCAGCTGCTGTTTTTCCATTGAAACAGACTATACTCGGGTGTTTAGCCCTCTGACAGGCCTGACGTTGGCCTCCCAGCAGCCCAGTGACCACAGAACCTGATCCCACACAATCAAGCAGCCGTGTGTGCCCAGTCTAAACTCACCTTTCCCAAATATGTCGCACATACGAACGCACGAACGCACACACACACACTCTGCTTTTCACACTTTAGCTTCTCCGTGCGATGGCGTCCATATTTCCCTGCTAATTCCACGGAAGCCCCGGGAATGTTCGTATTGTCTAAGTGATCATTAAAATTTATGGCAAGCTGACTTCATCCAGCTTGCTAGGCCACGCTGGCATAAGTCATAATTATGTGATGACACTGTAAGACAGTGCGTCCACGCTGTCCCTCTCGTCCGGGCCAGTTAAATGATATAATTAGCCCAGTAAGAGGTGAACGCTCCAGATTGGATAAGTTATTAAATGTTTGGATGAACCTGAGCTCCATTTCCCTAACTATCGCCATCTTCCCCCCTGCTCCTGCTCCCTCCCTCCTTCCTCCATTAGCCCATTAGCAGTTATGTGATACTATATGCTGATGGGGCAGTGGACAGAGAAAGTGCATAAATTAAGCCTGACCACTGGTTGTGTTATGGACTGCTCTTATAAGGTGCCGCTGAAGGACACTGCAAGACTCGAGAGAACGGCACCTCAGTGAGGGACATGTGATTACCACAGACCTGATGGTACAGTAATATGAGCTCAGCTGAGTTTGTAAACTTGAAAAATGTCACTCTGACCTTTGTTATCATCCGAGAGTTATGCTGATTACATTCATTGAGAACTCATATATGTACGGTAACTCACTCTTTTCACCACGTGAAACGATGGAGACTGTACTGTACGACAAACACAGGTCATACGGGCAAACATGTCAAATTTAACCCATCAGATTGCTCAATTTGTTCCCGGTTAAGCTGTAATGGAAGGCAGTGCACTGAGGTTGACAGCGCCCCTACCACTGGGCCCTTGAGCCTCAGTGTGTGCGTCCTTCTGTGCGAGTGTGTGTGCTGTGTGTGTGTGTGTATGTGTGTGTGTCGCGCTCCACCAGAGGGTCTCACCAAGCGTGACTGCGTGTTATTCACACTGACGAGTTCCACTGTTCACTGTCACCTCTCATTGCGAGGGGAAACAAGCCTGTGGAGAGAGCTGTGGCCGGGGGGGCGGGGGGGCGGAGGACAGAGGAGAGGCTGCGGGGAGCCCCCTTATAACCTCAGCCCAGGAACTAGTTTCTCTTCTTGGTTGTTGCTAAATATCAGTCCAGTCATGACCAAACATTTGGAGAGCAGGTAGAGTCGGATATTCAGATGCAGCATGCTGAAAAGTCTGGTTAGGTTTTCTGACACATTCTTCCAGACGTTAGAGGAGGCCTAGCTATGTGTGTGGCCATGTTTGGGGAGGGGTGGGTGTTATGGTGTTTGATTTGTTGTGAAGACTCGAGCAGCAGGACTCAGCAGAGTCCAGGTTGGCCCAGCAGGCCCGCCGAGAGTGACACTTCCTCTCTCTGTCTCATCCTGCAGCGAGCCTTGACAGCAGGGATCTGGTGCTGAGCCGCGTCCCCGTTCATCATCACCAGAACCAACCACCCACAGCGGGCAAGGAGGGGAGAGGGGGGCTCAGTTATGTGTGTGTGTGTGTGTGTGTGTGTGTGTGTGTCGCCCCCCCCCCCCCCCCTCCAGCTCTGTCTTTGGCCCTTCTCCAGAGAGACCAAAAAGCCAGGTCTCTCTTGGCTCCCTGATTGTTTTTGTTCCTGTGAGCAGACAAATAGAGTTTGGCCTCTTACAAAAGAAAATGCCGGAGCTCATCTGATCTTACTGCCCTAAGGAGTGGCCTGGCCTGAAGGGCTAGTGATTGGAAAATTACAGTGCTGCTCCAGCCATATTGTCAGGGAGTCTCGGCCAGACTCTTTTCTGTTTGTGTGAAAGGCCATCAGCTGAATGGCCAATCGTGCACTTTTAGAACGCATCCATCAATACTGTGGAGTGATTGGCTGTTGTCAGAGCTAGTTTAGATCTGGGTCATTTGTGAGGTAATCCTAATCTGGGTATCTTCTGTGCCTCTAATGGCAGTATGTGTGAATACAGAGCAAATGATGCTGCTAGATGACATGTTTGCGTTTAAATTTGAAATGATGCCAGTTACAACTCTGCGTTTTAAGTTTTGATTTAGAAAAAATCAAAACATACATTAGTCTAACACATGCTCACTGAGCTGGTCAACAGATTCAGTGCAGTTGCACAGAGATTTGGTCTTTGAGAGAAAATACCTGTTGCGGCTGCAGAGTGATGTTGAAGCCGCCCATCCCTGCCACACAAGTGGCTCTCTGATAAGTGATTACAACTAGGGGGGGAAAGGAGGAGTAAAACAAGGGCCTTGTCAGCACAGACCCTCCAGATTTGAGGTCAATTTCGCCCCCTGATTGCACGTATTTTTGTGTGTGTGTGTGTGTGACTGTGTGTGACTGTGTGTGACTGTGATCCCTCTGGAGACAGAGCGAGAGAGTTTACTGTTGCCTCATTGAAGCCATCATCATCACATAAGGAGCCGAGGCTGAAGCCTGAGCTGCCTCCCTGCCTGTCAGTTTCATCCTTTTGTTTTTACCTCCACCTCCCTTTTTTTATCCCTCTGTGCCCCCCTCCCCTCATCCCCTATCTCTGCGCCTCTTCCACTCCTTGGCCCTGGCCCTCTGCCTGCTCTTTCGCTCACCCCCCATGTTCGCAAATCACTTCTTCCCGTGTCAGCAGGTAAATTGTTTTGTCCTCCCATTCCCTGCTTTCATTACCTTGTGTAAATTAAGCGATATGTCGTCCACCGGTGCGCGCCAGAGCCCTCACCGCGCCAACGCCAAAATCATGAGATTTGGCATAATAAATGAAGACAAACTGGCAGTAGCAGTGCTCCTCTCCGCGCGGGCTCGCCTTCATTATTCGCTTAACTTGCCGGAGAAAATGACTTAACCCTGACCTGTGTATTACGTCCCATATTCACTCCAGATAAAAGCCTTTTTACAGCGCACAACAATTTATATTCCAGCAAAGAGGCTGCTTTTCTCTGTCAGTTTTCCAATCTCAGCTCCTGAACACACGTCATTAAACTTGTCTTGCCTTCCTGTATTTGTCCATCAGTCCTTCTTTTTACATAAAATCTGGCAGCATTATTCTGGGATTTGATGGCACCCACTCATTTTTTCCCCTTGGAATGTTTGATTGGAAGAAATATAGCCGGGCCGGGGCTATCTCCTCTCCTCTGTGGAATCATGCACTTGATGAAATAGTGTTCCCCCAGCAAGAATAATAAAAACAGACTTGTACATTACAGGGGGCTCTCAATCTGCCAGCTGGGCTGAGCTGAGCGAAAAAACCCACCCTGCCTCCTGACAGATTTTTATAGTTATCCCAGCAGACAAATGGAAACGGTGACCAGGCTGGGGAAGGCCACTCTGAGGCTGACAGTGGGCTGCAGGGCTGGACAATAGCACAAGGTGTGGTGTGAACATTAAAGAGCTGACCACCAGAGACGAGGACGGTGTGACCACCAGAGACGAGGACGGTGTAACCACCAGAGACGAGGACAGTGTGACCACCAGAGACTTCTTCACTTATTGTTCACAGGGAAACGTCTTAGAAATTGTTGCTCCTGGTAAAACACAGCATGCACATGGCTATGATCAAACAAAAACGTGTCATTCAGACACTCAATATATTTTGGTTTGTGTTAGTAAACCTTCTGAGTGTCGCTGTAGTGACAGAGTAGAAAGTTAAAGTCCTGTGTCAGACTGTGGTCTAGCTTCATTGAGAATGAACTGTAGAAGATGAAAAGGGTGATTGCAACTGTCCTCAGGGTGATAGGTGTTCACTTTCCAATTTGGAAGTGTCAGCATTACTATAATATCAAGCTCAGTTGAATGTAAAAGGTCACAGACACTTTGCATGAAGTCTTTCTTTCACTGTTACTGGAGCAGAGCCTCTAGTGAGTGAGTTAGTTTTGGTTCTTCAGTTTCTGCTGCAGCTCGAGATGGATGTTGTTCTTGCTCGAGGATGTACAGCGGAGAACCAGCTCTGCAATGTTTATTTATATGGTGCTAAGGGCTGCAACTAAAGATTGTTTTCATTGTCAATGAATCTGCTGTTTGTTTCCTTGATGAATCGCTTAGTTGTGTCACCTGCAAAACCTCAGAAAATAATGAAAAACACAATCACAATTTCTTAGAGTCCAAAAGGACGTCTTCAAAATCTTCATCTAACAGTTATATTAAAACAGAGAGAACCAGCAAATCATCACAGTTAAGAAGGGAACTTGTGAAATTTCTGGGAAAAAAATCTAAATAATTAGATGGATTTATTGTCAATTGTCATTTACCATAGTTCTTTACATACTTGAACTAAACACTGAACAAAAAATACAGAGAAAACATGAAAACACAACTAGTAAAAAAAAAAAAGTGTTATATTACAAGCTTTCTATATAATTAATTTCAAGTCACTTGATGACAAGTGTCCTCTTTAGCCTAAATCTTTGAATGAGGAAAATGTTCCTGCCTGAGGGTGTCAGGCTATAGAATGGTAATTTTAAAGTAATTTAGCCGTCATTATATGAATTTATTCATTTTGGTAGAATTAAATTTCAGACTGTCTTTAGCGCTGTTGGTCTGAAAGGGAGAATTGAAATAGAAAAACAAACTGGATGACTTCTCTTGTGTATCCTGTAGAGTTTAATTAAGTCTAATACTCATACACGAAATGTGAAACTTCATGAGACCATGCGTATGAGCAGCATTTTTATTAATGAAATAAAGAGATAGAAATCCTTAGGTCTAAATGGAAGTTGAAAAGTTCCACTGTGGATTGTTGCTTCAGATTTTGCCTTCTGGGAGGATAATCAGCCATAAATGATGCTTGTTTCCACCTAACAGGCCCTGATTAATCAGCCAAACTGAGCAGGCTAATCATACCTCTAGTGCTTTCCATGCAGGGCCTGGAGAGCTACGTGTAGTCTGCATCTTCCTCCTCCTCCTCCTCCTCCTCCTCTGTTCAGGAGTAGTGAAGAGCAATACCGTTCTGAGGGATGAATACAAAGTGCACTCTGTCGTGGTGGAGTTTAAGGATGCTGTCTGTACACCTTGAATACTGCTCATGTATCTTGGTTAAATTTTAAAATGTTCCTGCATCTCAGTGTCATTTAATTGGTCTTGTTCATATTTCATTAACATTAACAGACTTTGAAACAGAGAAGAAAATTACACAAAAGCGTTTATTTTCAACTGGTGATATATATGCAACCCATTTCTCCTGGTGTGTGCTTCTTTTTCCAAAAATGATTAACAGATAGATTTTTTGCAGTGTGAAATTTTGCTTTTATTTTGAAGTTTGACAGTAGAAACAGACCAAAAAAGTAAAGAGAACAAAAGATCAAACTGTGTTTGAACACCTGACATTGCGCTTACATGGTATTCATCACAGACCACTGGGCCACAGAAACACCCATAAAGGTTGTTTTTATTCAAATATAATTTTTAAACTCTTCTTAGTTATGGGAAGAATCAGATGAGTCATGACAGAATGTGGAGACATATGATGTGACTTAGTCCTCATCTTATCATGAGATCAATTTTGCGAATGTATGTGTGGGTCTTCCCTGATATGTACAATCTATCGTTTGGTCATAGGTTTATGTTAAGTTGTGTTTCACACTATTAACCAGTAAAGGTCCACAAAGAAAGTGTAGCAGCTTTTCCCTGTAACTCCTACATTTGTTAGTAACTCCATATATTACACTGCATGAGTTGGGAGGGAGGATAAAAACGACATGTTAGTTTTCTGTCTCTCGTTTTGTGTTGTTAAAATGGTTGTTGTGTAGTAGACTCTGCTGCTACTGCTCTTCCTGTTTCATCCACAAAAATGAGAATAAACACTGACCTGATTCATAATGCAGTAGGTCAGCAGACATTTTGATATGCCTTTAGGAAGGAATTATTTACACTAGGTTTATTTTATTTCAGAGAAACTGCACAACCTTTTCTAGTCAGAAAATCTAATGTAGCACACATCAAAGAGGAGATAAAGGATCATCCAACAGGCTCCGTGTCAACCCAGCACCTGCTAAATTGACACATCAAATGCACCTTGCAGATCAACATGGCTACCCATGACAGCGATGCATCTGAAACAATGTACAGGAGGGTCTCCACGTATGCAGAGCAGCAAACAAACCCCACTTACTCTTTGATTTGCTCAACAACAAAACAATGCTCCTGAGGTTTATTGGCCAGATAATTTTGTTAATGGCTTTTGCCACCTGGGGACAGAAAACTGGGGCATTTGAATCCTATGAGAGACCTCAGGGTCGGCTTTTTGACAGTCAGCAGGTATCGCTGTGGTTTTAATGGTTATGGTTAAACTGGGACACACTTGTATTAGTGAGTGATTGGCAAGTTTTCTAAAAAAAAAATTCAAACAAAACACATCATAATCCAAATATAAACCATCTTTCAAATGAGCATTTACTCGAGTTTTACTAGGTGCAACATTAAAAAGATTTAATAATAATTACAATAATAATTCAATAATATATAACATTTGACCTAGCTGGAATGGACTATTCTCCTGATTACATACTTGTACTTTTTTTTTTACTTTAATATATTTTGCTGCTTTCAAGTAAAATTTTGAAAAGAAAACTTTTTCTTGTGCTAGACTATGTTGAAATTGTGGCACTTTTATTTAAGTGAAAAAGTCTATGGTCATCTTCCATTGCTGTCAGTATTATTTGAAATGGGCTGTAATCACTGTAGTCAGTCGTCTTTACATAAGAAAGGTGTCATACATAAAAAAAAAGCAAAGTTTTCATTGAAAACACATTTAACAACATCATGTTGTGAATTTCTTCCACTAATACACTGATTTAAATATTGACTTTCACATATGTACCAGATGTGCTCACAAAAAACCAAAGTAATCAATTGAAATGCAAAGAGCCCCGGTGTACGGTTGTTTGAGATGGACAGGTTTGCTCAGTGCAGGGACTCCTCTGCTCTGAAAGGACGGGGGAAAAGAATGATACAAACAGAGAAAAAAAACTTGAGAATCCAACTCATTTTTTACTGTATGAAAGTTTCACAAGGTCGTTTGGAGAGTCATGTTAACACAATATGTGAATACAGATTTGTTTCCTTGTTCTACAAGTCACGGAGCACCGAGTCTTTAAGCGATCATTATTACCATACAAATAGACAGATCTATTTAACAACCCCCTTTTTATCGCATAACACTTATTCTTTAGTGTTGCTCCCTGAAAGGCACTGAAATGCGTCTCCCCCCTCATTTTTTTTTCTTTTTTTGCAGGGAAATCGTCTCAGGGTTGATAAAAGCTCAGAGCAATAGAAGAAGCAAGGCTGACATCTTCTTAAGAGATGATAGGAGAGCCAAATCAAATAGGATGGAGCAGTCACTCTTTTCACAGATAGGTAGCTCATTTCTTGTGGCTGAGAGTTTGCATCCCTAGTGGCGCTCTGCCTGGGAAAGATAGCTCACTTGGACTCCATTCATTATTTCATCCCCTGCCTCCTCTTTTCACATCTTAGCTACTTCTTTTTTTTTTTCTTTTTTTTCGCTTTAATGAGTTGCCTATTTTTCTCAAGTGTTGATGGGAATCTTGGAATTTAGATTTGGAGACAAAATGTTTAATCACAAGTGTTTTTCATTTGTGGAGAAGAGGCAAAAATCAATTATTTCTATTAGACAATGCTGATTGGAAATGAATGGAAGTGGTAGCATTTTGAAACAAAGGCTCCATGGAGGCAAAGATAAGTGTCAGTCTTTCCCCCTGAGGTATGATATGTGGTTCAGCTTAATAAGCAGTTTGCAAACATTTGCTGTTAAATCCATGCCAAGGGTTTACCATGCTGATAGAAAGACAAGCAAATAATTAATGATAACAGTACTCATATGTCAGTAATTGGAAAATAGAAGTAAATATTGTACCAGTTGCAGTTAAGCTGCAAATCTTGCAAACTCTGAAGATGTTTCTTTTTTCTTTTCTTTTTTTTTTTTGCATGATGCAGGTCTGTGCTGGTATATGGAGGTCACAGTAGTAAACATTATCATTCAAACTTGAACAACCCTTGCTTTTAGGTCTATATCATCAGATGTAGAGGGTTTTCTCTGCAATATAATTTCCTCTTAAGTTGCAGGAACTTTTCCCATACACTGTTTACTGCCAGACTTAATCAATCAAGCACAAGCTCCATACGTATTCAGCCTGGAACTTCCTGAAGAGCACTTTGCTATCATATCCCTCACATTCTTTGCAAATCCCTTAGAAAATTATTTATAAAAATTAACTTCTCTTGCAGAGGGCTCATTGAAAAGAAGAATTACATGAAAGATAAAACACTTTATCACCAGTGAAAGACTAGACAATGTACGTCGAGAAATTGGGAAGATGGCAGAAACAATGAATATTAAGTGCCTAAGAATCTAAAGCTGCTGACTAAATTGAAACTGTATATCCTGAGGGGGCAAGGTTTCCAAATTGCTAATTACTGCCTCTGAAAGGGGGCTGTTTCTGATATGTTTGCTTGTGAAAGGCTGCCACTTAATGAAGCAGTGGCTCAAGTTTTTTTTTTTTTTTTTTATTCCCACTCTCCGGCTTTCAGGGCTCTCTCCGGACTTCCCTCCCAGGCCAGAACAATGGCGGGCCCATGAGCCCAGCTTCCCCACAGGCCCCAGCGAGAGGAGGCCGGGGGCTGGGTACTGAGGGAGCCGCTCAGCATGCTGAAATATGGAGGCGACAGATAAGGTGGCAGCAGCACAGAGAGGCCCTCTCCCATGGGCCCAAGGGGAAATTTGCAGTTATTAAGAGGAAGATGAGAGAGATTAAATGGCTTTTGTACTCATTTTCACAGACTTTTCTTTTTTATTATTTGGGCTGCCTTCATCTGAGAGATGAAAGAAGTGGTAAATGACTTTTTTGCTTCATTCAGCAACACACTGGCTTTGAGAGACAATTCATTACTGAGAATTGTCACACATCATAAAACACTTATTAGTTCACCATTGTTTTAAAAGGTGTGGAAGTAATAGAATTACTGTAATCTTATCATCTACAACTACAGTAATTACAAACTTAACATGGTTTTGGATTTTGTTTGAAGAAATGAACAAAATGTTAACATATGTGTTGATTTAAAATAATGGCTTGAAGTCTTAAGCAAATATGTACAGACTTCTTGACACTCATTTATCTTCACATGCAATCTGATAAAGTGTAAAGCCTATTCTCTGAGTTTCACTGAAACTTGTAATGGAGAGTTTATTATTTTTTGTATTATTTGTATTTTGTATTAATATATTGCACTGCATTATTTTAGTAGATGTATTGTAAGTTGCTTAATATGACATTATAATGCAATTTGTTTTAAAGACTTATGTAGGTATGGTTGTGAGGTGGAGGTGGAGGGTACATTGATGCACTGGAGGCATGGTTCACTGGTGAGGATATTTTGGGCTGATGTATTTGAAAACCTCTACTGTGTTCTCAACATACTTATCAAACCATGTGCAATAGTTTGTTTACTTGGCTCATTTTAAAATGGTAGCCTGCACCTATTTATCAGTCTGGCTTCTCTATCAGCTAAGTGGATGCTAATGAACTGGAAACAAATTGTTTTAAAATTTAAAATTGGTTGAAGGACTTTTTGGATGTGACAGGTAAAAGGGCTTTATCATTCTTCCAAGACTGAGGACTAAGGACTTCATATGGTCTTACTTAGAAAATAGTAATATATTCTTCTGCCCCTTACTCCCCTTTGTTGGTGTGACTTCATGTTTGAAATGTAGGGCGATGCTATGACTCTTGTCTCCATTTTTGTTTTTATGGCTTCTTAAGCGATTAAAAACAACCATTAAGTTGACATAACACCTCTATAACACAAGCAAGCAAGGCTTTATTTATATAGCACTTTTCATTCCAGGTTGAAGCACAAAGTGTTTGCTACATGGAAGTTGCAACCACAAAAACTATGTAGATAGTGTACAGATAAAACATCAGACATAAATAAACGCAAATTAAAACAAACACATAAATGATGCATGTGAATTAAGAACCATTAATAAAATAAAATGATCAAGATCAGTTTTCAGTTTTTTTTTCTAAAAGACGATTTAGCATTAGAGCATTATAATTGTGTAGCATCCAGTGGCTTGGAGCACAAAAGCTAAAGGCAGTTTGATCAGTTTTGTGGAGACCTGGGGAAGAAACCTGCCCCAGTTGGCCCGAGGGGTCTAGCTGGTCCATAGTTCGCATTAAGCATGTCAGATAGATATTGAGGTGCCAGACTAGGTATGGCCTTAATAACAAGCATTAAAATTACAAAATCAATTCTAATATTTCCTGGAAATCAGTGTAACGACCTCAGAACAGGTGTTATATGGTCATATTTTCTGTGTCAGCTGCTTTTTTTCTTTTTTTTTTTTTTTTTTTTTTTTTTTACATGCATTTATTCTTCCTTTCCAAAACTTGGCACCTACATTACCCACAATGCAACCCAACTGCTAACAGTTCATTCAAGTGCCATCACTTGAGGAAATGTATCAGATTTCAGCGTTGTGTAAAATAAGTAAGCTAGAATTTCCCTTTAATATTAGACCAAACATCAGATTTAGAAATTTCCCCTAATAGCCCATCATAGAAAAAATAACAATAAAACAATAAAACGACAGGATCAGTATAATTCTACGGGGCACCATGAGTTCACACAGGAACATTACAGGAAAACTGCAGTAATAAGTTATAATACACTTATTAAGTGAATGTAATGGTAATCAGTGGTCAGTGGAAAAGTTGACTGTGTTATCTGCTGCATGGCAGGCTGAGTTTGGGTCCTTATCTGCGGTGAACATTGCGGTGCTGTGGCGGGCTGTTTTTGCCGAAGAGTCACAGCGAGGCGGAGTCACCTGATTGGCTGGACAGAAGGGCGGAAGTGCGTGTGGCGTCCCAGCTGTGCTGAAAACAAAACAAGACAAGCCGCGACTGGTGAGTGCACAAACACAGTGGATTATTGCCTCTTATTGTGTAGCATTATGGTAGCTGCTTTGTGTAGCGTGTATATGAGGCAGTGTTTAACGCTGTTCAACGTTGTGTGTCGCTGATAGTTAACACTGGAGAGATGTGTTGCTGTCCTTGTGCTGATCTCACGTGTGGGTTGTTATGTAACACACAGTCTGTACTGAGCAAGCAGACCGACCAGCCTGCTTCTGCTATTGTCCCCTTGCACTGTCGTTGTACAGATTCACAGTTGCTTTCTTAGCTACTGATGAAGATGCTGTGAGTGTTTTATAGCTGCTGACGGCGTGCAAACGCTCAGACAGTAAAATTTACACCGCTGTAATCACACAATCCACTATTTGATGCAGCTACTTAGAGGACAAATCAGCTTGCTATTATTTTATTGCTCAAAAGGAAAAACCTGGTGTACATTGCACTTTGGCATTTCCTCTTTCATTTAGAGGACTGGCCAAATATAACCAATGCTGCAGGATAACAGGAAATCCAACCTTAATCCTTAATACATCAGTAACAGATTTCCACTCTTTCTAGATACACCATTTTACCATTTTAGAGAGAAGTCCATTGTAGAAGAGGCAGAGATAACTTCCACAGACCCAAAGCAAAGTAGACGGGCATGCTTTAAGTAATGAGTATAGCAATATTTTTTCTGCTCTAGTGACGAGTGTTTATATTTACAGTTCAGCAGACCAAAAAAGACAAATTTGCTCAAGCCGCCTGATCCATCATGGCTGGGTACAATATCCTGAGACAATAGGACTGGCCAATATTGATAAAATGCTATTTCAAATAATGATATTGATATATATTATATGTATTTGATAGAATAACCACATGGGAATATCACCTTTTGGCTAATCCAGGAAATGAACAACCTGAAAGAACAAGGTGATTCATAGTCTCAGTGACAAAGTCCTGCTTTGCAACACTGTTTTATGTCATTCAGATCAGATGACTTATCTACCCTGCTTAAACCTATTGCAGGTTATTTTGATGTACCATCATTCATAGTGTTAACTGTTGGTCACCACACCACTAAAGTTTCCTCTGATGTGTCTTATGTTCAGCACCATGATGGATGAGCTGGTGCAGGACCTGGTGTCTGCACTGGAGCAGACCTCAGAGCAGAGCAAACTGGGGGAGCTGTGGGAGGAAATGGTCTTGAGTCCCCTGCAGCAGCGTCGGCAGATCCGCCGCCGCAGAGTGCGCAGGCGCTACCGCGAGTCCCCTCTGTATCTGACAGAGCACAGACGTTGCTGGATTGAGGCCTCTGAGTCCAGTTTGGACGAGGCTAAACACTACAGGGAGAACTCTTCCTCGACCATTGCTGCCTCTGTAGCCAACTGCAGTGACTCTGACGACTTGACTTCAACCAACCAGTGGCACTCCGTCATGAGGGGCCCGGCCAGGACGAGGCAGCCCTCCTGGCCAGAGTCTGACTCCTTCAGTGAGAATAATCCAGGACGGCCACTCAGGAGGCGAAGGAAGGTCAAACGTATGACCTCAGGCGTCACGGTCAGGCTAAAGCAGAAGTTAAATGTTTCGGGTGTGGATGGGAAACGGAGGTACAGGCCATCTAGGATGGAGCAACTGTCGGGATCGAAGAAGCGGTCAGGTGGTTGGATGGGAGCAGAAAGACAGACTGAAGGAGCCAGGCTGATGGGAAAGGAATGCTGGAAGAGGAAGATGGCCAAGGAGCACAGAGATGGTGCAGATGAAAACATGTCTGAAGGGTAATGTTGGATTCAAGGAAGGATATTTGCATTTTTTTTCTCCTAATTTGGTCTTTCCATTGGAGTTAAACCTAACCCTTTAATTCATTACAATGATGTTACACACTTAGGCCTCCATCTGGCATCCATTTAGGTGTATAGAAAGAAGTTTGAGGTCCATTATTTGTGAAAAATCAGCATTTCCAGCTTTCAGAACCTTTCATTTAATTTACAGTTTTGCAACAAGCCAAATGTTAACCCTGTCATTGTTTAAAGAGTCAAGATTAAAACCATACCGAAAAAGGAGCTCAAAACTCTAAAAGCCCTTTTTACCCTTTAAATGGAAAGTTACCAAGGCAGTTAAACCCATAACATAAAAGTCATGGGCATAACTACTATCAGACAGAAGCAATTAAAGAAGGCGACATTTAAGATGATCTATACTGCCTGTCTTCATCGAGCGAGTTGTCAATATTCAGCGTGTCCTCAACTAAACCAAAAAAATGTATCACAATCATGCCACTCCACTTTAAAGTATTGAGTTGACATTAAAAATGAATGATAGAGTCTCTTCATCCTCATCTCCTGTAGCTGAAATGATCACCAGGGAGGGATCTTTGATAGTTATGCCTCCGGGCATCTGCCAACTCATTATTTCCTTTCGAGAAATATTGTCACAAATAAATAAGTGACTTGGTGTGGTATTGATTTGTTTTGAAATGAATTCCTGTCTTGGGCTGGGTAATTAAAGCTGTGACTGTCCCAGTGTCCCAGAGTGCACCGTCTTGTGTGCATTTTATTTAGCAGAACTAAATGTTGCTGTAACTGGCAGCAGAGAGGAATTTATATTATTATAGTGAGGTAATTATTACAGTATAGTATGGAAAAAGAGAATAAATTGTGACAAAAGAATAATTCTGGCAGTGAACTACTGTCACCTTCGTGCCCTCGTTCACCCGCTCACTACTTCCTCTATAATAGACTCTCAGTAGTTTACTCTGTAGTGAGCAGAGATTTCAGGTACTTATGAAACCTCCTCATTTTGCACTGTCACTGACAATTTACAATTTTTTTATCTATAAATGTGACGCATTGCATTGTGGGACTGTTAGCAGAATATAGCAGTGGTGTAACCAAGTACATTTACTTGTGCTCAAGTACAATTTTGAGGTACTTGCACTTTCAGTCTGTTGTAGTTACTAGTTAGTTTGAAGATTAAGATAATACATACAGAATATGTGGCCAGCTAATAATAAATTCATCTCATTCTTATAAATTAAACTACCCTGCATTATATAAAGTTAAAATTGAATCCACTTCAACCAGATAAAACTTTAGAAGATCATTAAAATGCACCTTAATAATACAGTGATATAATACTTTAACACTATGACAGATTCTGTTGTGTAATGTCAGTTGGAGTACTTTTACTTTTGATACTTAAAGTACATTTTCCTGCAAATACCTCTAAGTAAAGTTATGAATGCAGGACTTGTAATGTAGTATTTCTGTTGTGATATTTATCTCTGTGCCTTGTCTTCACTGGAAGGCTGTGTACAGGCCACGGACGCTATTTGTTCTACTGTGGGAACTTTTGAGGGCACTGTTTTAGTGCATAAATTTTGCACTGAGAATTTTGACACAGATAAAATGGAGGATGGCAAATATTGTAAATAGGGACTTAGATCCTTGGTTTGGTCAAGGTAAAACTCACCAAAAACTAATTTGATTGGGTAAAGAAGGAATAAACATCAGGAGAAGAGGTTAGTTTATACCTTTTTGAGGAAGATCATCCTCATAACATTAATGAATAGCTGAGTAATTGTTTTTCACTATATAGAAATGGTTGTTTCTTGTATTAAATACCTCATATATTGAGTACAATGAGTTGATAAATAGACATATATGGTGTACAGTGCTGGTCAGTTGCACAGTCACACTGTATTTTCTGTTTAAGCATTGGCGCTCCTGTCCCTGAAGTCCTGTCATGCTCCTGCACAGTGTTATTTCCTTAGTGATCTTATTATCCGTTGATCATATAAAATATATGATAAGACGACATTTCAGGTAACCGGTAATGGGACAGACAGAAGGCTTTACATCTTCTGGTTTCATTTGTGCTGACCTCCCTAGCCCCTAAACGGTACTTGTTTTCTTACTTTATGGAAAAATCAATAGCCGTTCTGACAGAAAACGGCTCCGGAGAAGAAATAAATGGGAACACCATGGCACGCTGTCAATCATTTCTCACTTACACAACGCCAACGCTCTTGATTGCTGCTCAGTAGACTGCCACACCGTACTGAGGGCTCAACAATCTAATGGTTAGGCCCTGGTGGAGGCAAAGGATATGAACAAATGGCAGCAGTGATGAGGGACTGACAGTGGTACAACAGCAATATTTATACTCAGAGAGTGTACGGTTCGTTTGATGCCGGACACAGATGCCATTGTTGAAATGTCTTTTGAAGCACTCAGATTTCTTTGGTCTCCATTCATTCCATTAACCTTTTTCGTATGGAGTGTCTGGTCGTGCCTCTCCTCAAGGTCACTTCTCTTATGTGCATACTGAGCAGAGCTTTGCCTTCAGCCACCCAAGTGCAAGGGGAGCAGATGTTGGCAGCTCCAGTTGGGCTCCACATCCTTGATTAGACCTGGCCCAGCCTGCTGGCAGTGAGGCCACCTGGCACCCAGGCTGGCCCAGCAAGCAGGCCTCACCTGTGGGTAGACGCTGTCCCGGGCTTAGCCTCCGTCTCCAGCTGTGTGCCGCTACTGGTGATGTTGACTTCAACCCTTGCCACCAGGAAAAACAAAGCCGCTGTGTGAGCTTTTCTCACACTCAGCTTTATCATGCTGTAATTTATATTTTGAAAACTCTATGAGGAGTTTTTGGGGAAGCAGTGCAGCATTTGCTGAAGTTAATTTTCATAAATCTCTGAGACTAATCCAATTACTGCAGCTCAGGGAGGGTGGGATAACCTTATAATCAGACACCCATGGAAGAGAGCATGGATTTGGGTTGGGGCGGCTTGTTTGAAGAGCCCACAGATCCATTGTTATCAGCGCTTTGCCCCCCTTCGTCTCTGCCTCTTCTTTATTCCTCTGCAGAATGAGCCCAGGCTCAATAAATGGCGGCTAGCCTGTAATCTCTGTGCAAACTGGTCTGCCTCTCCCAGGAGCTGAGGATTATATCCTAATGATTAGTGCTCATCTGGATACTGTGTTTTGCTTCACCTCTTTGGCTTGTATAGAGACAATAGGGTCATGCGGGGAGTTAACTTCAGTCCTAAAACACTGGAATGCACTTTTTGTTTTTGCCCTTGCTTTTGTTTCACCATGGACGTGTGGCATATTATCTAATTAAGACTTATCTGTTTTTATGGCGCCTAATCCACAACAGAATATCTTACTTTTCTGGGGACTGGGGAAGTGTTACTTTGTGCTGACTGTATTTGGTGAGCTCTCATTAAACTCTGCAGTGATATGTTTTGACTTGTATCTGTGTGAGACGAAGACAAAGTTTTCCTAAAATGTTTTCCTGACAAAGGTCACTGCTGAAGAAAGAAGAGGTGTTTCTTTTTGGTCCCAAGAAAAATGGGGGTCTCAATTATTCATTGGCATTAATTAGGCAGTACTTAATGGAAACGGTCTCACATCGGCCCTGTGCTGCTCCAAGCGACATCACATTACACCGTTAATACAGATAAATACTTAATGGGTGTCTCTAATTAATTGTTTATACCTGTGATTCTTTTTCAAACTTTGCATAGTCTCTCCAATAAGAAGCAAACACATTTATGTCCTTAGAAAATGGCGGAAGATGCCATGCTGTTGGTAGTTAATCATCACTGGTTCCTAATTTCAAAGAAAGGTTGTGGAATGAAGCATAAAACCAAAAAGGTAGTTATTGCTTATTGTAGAGCTTTGGCTGTGTCCTCTACCGATGTAGGAGTGTTGTGTGCTCCAGATGCCAGCCGATGTGTCCAGAGGTGGGGTACAGCTGAGGAGAGGCCTGGGGAATCAGTCTGGAGAGAGGGCTGAGGGGGTTGGATGGGGGGTGGAGGGACAGTCTAGGATTTCTCGGCCCGGCCAGACATCTTCCAGATTCCCCGGAGAGGCCTGCTCCCTCTCACATCTGCTTCTCGTGGATGTGAGGGGAGATGATGCAGGACCATCTGGCCTGGAAGGCGTGCAGGCTGGGCGGACGTATTCCTGATCCTGTCGTCACTGGCAGGCCTGTGCAATATGGCAAAGCATCGTATCAGCGCATATCTGACCCTCCAGCTCTCTCCTGTAAGCAAGGTCAGCGATGTTAGACAGGAGGCAAAATGCAAGGCAGTAAGGAGCATTGAGCTCCGTCTCTTTCATGAAGTAGTTTGAATGGCAATTAGCTTTATTTGAAAATATCAGATAAAGACAAAAACCAATGATGTGTTAGTACATCTCTCAATACTTTGTGCCTTCTGGAACAACAGCTGGAATCAGCCACAAAACTAGTTCCTATACTGGAGAAAAATCGTAACAGTTCAGGTCACAAATATATAAATATATAAAAGGACTGTAGTTGAACATTAGCTGGCTAACACTAGCACATTTACAGAAATGTTGAAAAAATGAAAAAATGTGCATCTTGCTTAAATAAAGAAAATGGAATGAAATATAGCTGCTCCATAATTTCACAAAACAGCTGGGCATATTCCAACAGGAATAAATGGTGCTTTTGTTGGGGGACTATTTTCACACATTACATACACATTAGTGTTTTTGACTTGACTCAAAATGAACTAATGAAGGACCCATTTGATTGGACGTGACTTGTCCATTAAACTAACTGGCATTTAGAAAACTGCTTTAGGAAATAGATTAAAAAAAATGCATGTGCTTGTTGCGTTACTGTAAAGTAAGCAGTGACAGCAGTGTGACAAGTTGGTATACTTGCAGAAATAAATCCTTTTTTGTACCTCTATCTTCATCACCACCCCCTCCCTCCCTCCCTGTGACCTTGAAGTGTCTGGAGGTCCCAGTCCAAGGTGGCTGAGGTGTGAGAAAGGCAGAGAAACCCAGGGTGGTCTGGGTGAGCGGATGGGGCACAGAGGGTATGGAGGTTAGTGTAAGTGGGGTTGCCTGGGGGTGTGAAGAGGAGCGGCGATGGAACAGGCTAGGCAATAAGAGGTGGCAGCCCACACAGCAGATGTTGGCCAGTTGTTGTGTGGAAGCGGCACGTCTGTGGGTTGCTCTGTGTGTGGGGCACACCCAGAAGGAGGGGCGGGCAGGGGAATGTGTTTCGCTCTCCTGTCATCCTCCACAACGCAGGCCAGATTAGATTGGAGCTGACAGCGGAGGATATTCAATTAGATTGTGCATGTCACTCAGTGGCTTCGATCAGAGTCTCTCCTCATGCCTTTGTGTTTGCTATCGCAACAAGGGAAAACACAGCACGCTGTCTTTTTGTGTCATTTCCATTTATGTCGACCTCTAGCTCCGGACTTCTTCATTATTTTCTTTACTGAATGCTACATGTTAAATATTGACATTCAGGGGCATGTAAATTTTTTGATTTACATTGTTCACTTTTCAGATGCTATAACATGGTCTGACCTAAAGCACCCATCAGCTCTGAGATGACAAATCAAAACAGAGTTCTCCATTCTCAGATGTCATTGATATTAAAGAGCAGGTCAGCTGCAGTCATTCACATGTGATGTCTTTCCTTTTTTCTTTGCAGTGAAACCAGCAGCACATGCAGCAGTGACCCTGGTCTTTTCACCAACGATGAAGGAAGACAAGGTATTAAAAAACAAACACTGTCAACATTGCAACACTGCAGAAACTTTAGCAACTAGCAAGTAAACAGCTGATTGGATTTTGAGTATTTGGAGCTCACAGACAAAGCTTTTTTTTTAACATGTAAAGAAAGATGAGGAGTTGTCAGATTTGGACAACACCCTCCTCGACTCTCGGGGAATGCTGGGGCTGGAGAGGGAGATTTCGATACAATGGTCTGGTTGCTGGGCACCCAGGCGACTCTAATAAGACGTTGTCATGTCGTGTTAATGAGCGCTGAAGCCTTTGCTAATCTCATTAGCCATGGCGGGGCCAGGCGGCCTCTGATTTAACAGTTGTCACTACACCTTGACTGTGAGAGGCATGGTTCCTGTGTGCGCCTTGCTGACTGACAGGTCTGAGTAGAGCTGGCTGTCCTCAAACAGCGCTGTGGTTAAAAGTGTTTTACAGTGGTGGTGCTTTTTACTTCAGCATTTTAATGGAAGCTGCAATTGCACTACTAAGGTAAACTGGTGTGTGTGTGGTGGCACTGCAGATTTAAGTGGGGCTTAAAGTGGGTTAGGTATAGTACGACAGCACAATTTTAAATTTGGAAATTCTCATATTGGAAATTGTAGAAAAGTACTTTGGGTAAAAATATGATAGAAGCATGCAGCAGTGACGTGCCAGCCCATGCAACATCTTCCCTGTCCCTGTGTGCAGGCGATGACGAGCAGAGTGACTGGTTCTTCGAGGGGGACTGTGGAGCTGGGACAGGCATGGCAGGCTTGTTGCCCAACTGGGACTCAGACAACCAGCTTTCCCTTGAGGATAACCGCCCATCGCCCACCTTTCTGCAACCTGCACGGCCCTCTCAGAGAAGTAAAAGAGGATCATTCTGTCTTTTAGACACAAATTAACAACAGTCCTGGGAAGACTGTGCCTGCTTTTTTCTTCTGTAGAATAAGAGAGGAAACCACTTGTCCTTTAATCATCCTTGTTCTCTGCATTGGCTTCCAGTATGCTGAGGATTTGTTTGCTTGTTTATAAACCATTCAAATATACTGTATCTTAGACATTGCTTAAAGGCTATGAGCCACCCTGACCTGGTCAGGTTAAATGTCACTGGTCACTTTCTCCTCAGGGTCAAATAAAGCCAGATGGTTAGTTCGGTGTTAAGTTTGCCTTGTCTTGTCTATTTTCCTGACTCTTTTTTTAATATTAATGATCTTTTCTGATCGTTTTGCAACACAGAAAAATAAATTGTTTTTTTTTTTGTTCTGTTGCAGGGTATCATTCACGTCTTAAACAACTGCCTGGCTCTGCTGCCTGCTGCATCAGGAAGGATAGGAGGAGGATTCCCAGCAAGGTTAAAGCAAACTTGCATCATTCACATCAGTAGACTTGCAGCTACTGAAAAAGTTCTTTTTATGTTTGATTTTTACTCTGTGCGTTTGATTTATGCTGAACAGGGCAACAGCATGCCAGTGTTTGTAGAGAGACTGAGACATTTCTCCCAAGATCCTTACCAGAGAGAGTAAGATATACTGTTTCAAACTCTTAAAACAACATTATAAAGAGCTCTTCTGGTATTAAGTCCATCTGTTTCCATCATTGTTTTTTGTCCAATAATTATACTGTGAACATTTCCTTTTAGCTTTTGGCTGCCTTCTGTTGGAAAACGAGACCGAAGCCAGGTATGTTACAATACAAGTTTTTTCCAGGCCTTATTATCTTTTGACCCCAGTTTGTTCAGACTAATGGTAAAATTTCAACATCTAAATGTCATTGATACTTTCAATTTCCAGTTGAACCCTTTGTGCCCATTACCCGTGTGTCCTATTGACATGGTGTCAGAGAGCTCCCATCTCAGATCTTCCTCTTCAATCTGCAGAAACAGGTAGTTGATGCCATGTTAAATAAAGCAGCCTCTCAAGGGCCTATTGGAGACACCAGTCTTTTCAATCAAAGCTCAATATATTGATAGACAAGTCTGTGGCCAAGTCACTTAAATGAATCAGTTGCAGAGCAAAGGTCACTGTTAACAAAAGTAATCTATGTTAAAATAATGCCTCAGCGACTGTGTGTGGGCAGACACATTCGGTGGGTTGTGGGTGATGGCGCCAAATCTTCTTCTTCCCCCTTTAAGATTAGATCAGGCTGTAATGGAGGGGAACATATACTTGATGCATGTTCTTTGCAGTAGTGAATCATACACATAGATGCACACATATTGTAAATGACCACATTCATCTTAACCCAAAGGTTTTACTTCTTTTGTTTGGGGTCTCACAGAACCAAATGCTGTATGTGTAAATTTAATTATGCTAATATGTTTTCCACATATATATATGTATATCATTAAATCCCATTGTGTAGAAACGTGGTAACTTTTTGTTGATGAAGGCTACAAACAAATATTTAATTTTATTTTTATATATTATATGTGCTGTGCATGATATTACATACTGACGTTACTTATGTTTGGTGTCACTTAGACCCCAGAGAGGTCTAACTTTTAATTTTAATTGACTAATTTAGAAGTAATTTAGAGTTTGGCAGCAGTAGAGCCTATGAAAATCCATTGTATTGTACCATGTTTAACGGCGTACAGAAATAATGTATCTCTGTTTCAGACTTCATCAGTGCAGAGGCCGCTGGGTCTCCAGAACACCAGTGTTAGCGTTAGTGTTACTGGCAATCCTGCCCCCAAGTCTTAGCTGAGGTGACAACAGACTGCTACAGTTGGATGCAGTAACACTTCAAGTCAGTAGTTTTCAAGGTCACCGTTCACAAATAGAGAAATACTATGTGTTGACATAGTCGTAATGCAGTTTGAAATCCCTGTATTTCTGGCACTGCACAAAAACATAAAAAAAAAAAAAGGTTTATCCAAAAGATGTTTGTCAAAGCGTCACATCGCTCCCAGTCATCCCCGGAACTGTTGGATCTGCATGGGGGACTATTGAGGAGGCGAGCAGCCCCCTTGGCCTCGAGACTGTGGGACTCCTCGTTGTATTGTTTCCACTCTGCCTATTTATGGTGCATTCCTAATTTTGTTTCACACACACACACAGTTTTTCCTCCCTCTCTCTTGGGTTATTTCACAGAGCGCTCCAGCACTCCTTGATGAGGGGCAAAAACACGACTGCTATGAAAAGCCCCCGACTTCTTAGGGCTTTCTTTTCTAAACTGGCCCTTTCTTCTCCACCTGAAAGGTTCCTTCAGATTCCAGTTTGAGGCATTGTGAATACTAATTTCTCTCTATTAAAAAGCCCTCATATCCCTGCCATGCTCTCATTTGAATGGCGGACTCAGGGGAGACCTCTTAATTCCTTTATAGTGGGATTCAAGACCCTTCACTTCAAAAAGTATAAATCATACTCCCAAATGAATGAGGGAGAGAGGGGGGATTGACGAGAGGGGCTTCTGATGTGTCCCGTTGGACGGCACGAGCTGAATCTATCTCCCAAAGCTGCTCAAATCCACTCTCCAGTGAGATGTCTGCTCTGTCCTCATGACCCAGCTCTACACGCGGCACCCATTTACTTCCCTTAACTTCCTCCAAAACACACAACACCCGGCAGTTAGAAATTTTATTTTGCACAACAATTGGAAATGCTATAGTTGCTCGTGCCTGCTCTTAACAAACTTTTTAATATCCACTCTTGATTTCACTTCACTGCATTTTCATTTCTTTTGAACATCTCGCCCGCGTGATCGATTTTTCTAGCGCCGAGCTCACATACATCTGACTTTTCTTTGTTTCCAAACACCCTTGAGAGAAAAGTGTTTTCTCTGTGGGCAGAGTGTAAACATTAATCTTGTACTGCGGCCAGGTTGAAATGATACTGTATTAATAAAAGCTGTCATCTCCTGTTTGGCACGGGCTGACGGCGACAATCAGAGATTTGATGTTAAGTGATAAAGGCTGTATGAGGTTGCGTGCTGTTTATCCCGGCGTCGGCGCATGAATAGGCGCGATGCTTTGTGGGATTTGGCCGTAATGCTCGGGGACGGTGGCCACGTTAAAATGCATAACTGCCTCCCACCTGAGCCGGGCGGCAGCAGCTTTTATCTATTGACTTATTTATTTCTAAATGACACTTGTGCTGTGAGATAAATCATAGTCTTACGCCACTCCCTTCCCAGTTTTCATTTTAATTGTGAGATCTCGGTGTCAGCAGTTAGTATATTGGTGTGAGTGGCCTATTGATTATTGATTTGGAGCTATTGATTATGTTCCCTGGAGACCCTAATCCTTTCTGATTCATTTGAATACCTCTATTAATCTTGAGATCCTGCTCACACCTGAAGCACCATGTACCCTAATGAAAATAGATGGCCATTTTGTAACTGTGGCTCCTCACTCCTCTTTTGATTTATTATTTTTAATTGATATATTTGCTTTTGGATGTGGGCGCCAAAATTACAATTGACCCTGTGTCAGTGCTGTTTTACTTTGTACCCTAAGGGACGGCACTGCATTTAAAAGTGTCTCATATGACCTGAAAAATCTATCTTGGAGACTTTTGTCTCAGTGTCCTTGTGTCTTTGATAGAATTTAGTTGTTGTTACCCATCTTCATTACATATTACTTGTTTTTTCATTGCTCATTGCCTCCAAGTCAATCTTTGTTTTCTCGTCACAGTTTCTGTATATTTAGGGGCAAAACAACAGGCCGACATCTGTCAAGTTGTTAAAACTGATGAAGTAGCAGATGTTAAATAATAAAAACAGCGCTGTGCATTTTTTACCGCTTCTTTCAGTTTTACACTGAGCCATGTAACATGCTTATAAAAAGCCTTTGGGTTCTTCTCTGAGATGAATGGTGGTGTTTTGTCTTGGTTAATGAGCCAACTGATGGTATTCTTATGTTTGATTAGCATTGTGCTGAGTGTCTCAGTGAGCTCGTGGCGGCCCCCAGAGCTCTCAGCGGCAGGGGAGGGCCCTCGCCTCCCTCCAGGCTGCCGGGGGGCCCTGGAGTGCCTTGGCTTCGGTGTAATGAGGGAAGAGATGGAGGGATGGACCTCCACACATTAAGACCAAATGCATCAGGGTATTACTTTTAATACCGCAGGCGTGCCTCGTGAAATAATGCAACGTTTAAACGCGGATCGATTTTGGAATTAAAAAGTTAGTTTGCAAAGATTTACTGTGGGGAGTTCAATGCCTGAGCTCTTTATCAGGGGCGCAAATGGCTGGTTATGTGCTGTCCGACAGAGGTACGATTGAGGGATCGATAGGCGCGTGATTTACTAACTGGAGTACAGCTAATCAATAAGTATAAAAGTAAATGAAATATGCATTACTGGGATTTTATTAGAGAGGGGTAGCAGGGAGAGAATAACGGTCAGGCCATTTATTTTTATATCTATTGATTATACAACATAGAGACTTCGCTCAAAGTGTGCCCTGCACAGCTCTCGACACCCCATGCCTGCACACCCGTCATGTGATTTATGGGTGCTGAGGTCATGGAACATGCTGCCTGTTAAAAGGCTGCCCTGACAGGGCCTTATTGTAGCATGTGCCGTGTTAGGGTTGTGAGCTTTATGTAGCCTGCAGTCTGAGACGAGCCGTGCTGGTTAACAAGGAGCTTTCTTCTGTTTGATCCTCTGTTGTTTGGTAATCTGTCATGAATTTGTTTTTACAAGTTATGTTTATTAGCATTTTTAAACAGCATGCCATCTTGTTCTTTAAATCCTCTCTGAGATGCAGTGTAGTTGTTTAAAACAAACATAATGTGTAAGATTTTAACTTCAATCTTTTGGTCTGTCATTGTGTCTTATTGTAGCTCCCTCGCACACGACACTCTTTTCTCTTTTTCACTCCTCCCGTACACAAACATGCACACCGCACAGGATCACATCAGCTGGTTCTCTCTCCACCCCCCCACCCCCGATGGAACGGACCTTGACCTTAACTTTACATCTCCGAAGTCAGGGCTATTAAGCTGGTGGGGGGGCTTTTCCTATTTCAGGGCTCCTGACATATGACATAGGAGGCATAGAGCAGGTGTAATTTGTTTATGTGAACTCTGCAATGACTCAGCCACATGCATCCCAGCACCTCTCCTCATTAAATATTCTCTGTGTTGAAAACGTGGATTAATGAAGAAAAATTAAGATGTGGCAAAATAAACCACTGCACTGAGGCTAAATGTAAACTGAGGTGTTTGCAAATGTGCAGTGTTTGCATTTATTGACTTCTGTGAAATTATAAATTTTTACATGTATATTTGTGCATTGTGGGAGAGAGCTACTTTATCATATTTGCCTGACTGTAACGTTTGCTCGGCGTGTGTGTGTGTGTGTGTTCCCAGGAAGACTAACATCACCCCAGGGCTGTCATGCACAGGACACTTCAGGAGTAGGGAAACAGAAGCTGTGTCCATCACAACATCAGGTAACACCCTCTGCACATAGTGATGAAACCTGCAGATTTAAAATGTTACATATCTCAAAGAAAGAGATGCAGGTGTCATTTGCGAAAGTGTAAAAACTTGTGTTGCTTTGCATTTTTAGTCATGGTAGCAGAAATGCTCTGAGGATGTTGGGACTCTGGTCCAGAAAATATTATATATATTATGTTATATTTTTATATAGATGCTCGTTGTCCCCAGACTTTTCATCCATTACCTCAAAATTTCAAATTGTACAAAACTTCATAGTCTAAAACATTTTAGCATGCTAAAACACTAAACTTAGACGCTGAGCATAGTAAACATTATACCGGCATGTTAACATTGTTTTTGAGCGTTAGGGCTGTCACACTATCAGATTTTCACTACACAATTATCATGGCCAAAAGAAATCACTGTAAGAATATTATCGTGATATCTATAGAAACTTTGAGAAAAAAAAAAAGCTTTCACTCAAATTCATCTTTAGCTTTGGTTATTGTGTGTTTTGTCTTTTTTTTTGGCAAATGGTTGTAGAGAGGTGGAGAGAAAGTCTGTAACCATAACTGTACAAAACGCACAGTTACACTTAATGGATAATGAAAAGGAAACCAGGTGAACTGATAAACAAAAGATCCACAACATCAAACATGTTCATCACAATATTATCATACGTGTATCGTTTACATATCAGTATTTCATTTTTTAAATATCAAGGTAATCGTCAATACCAGTACATCGCAACATCCCTATTGAGCATGTTAGCGTGCTCTGCCTAAATACAGCCTCGCAGAGCCAAGCTAGCAGAGCTAGCATAGCTGTAGGCTCTTAGTCTTGTTAGAACATTTTTGTAATTCTACCAAAATTACCAAATGTTAAATATTTGGTGAGTTAACAGCAAAGGGAAGTGTACAGTTAGATGGTAGCTATGTTATGTTAGGAGCTTTCTGCTTAAAGCAGAGGTGTGATGTGGAGTTCACCCTGTTGGAGGTGGCATCAAGCAGCAGCCGTTGTGTGTGTTTGGACCAGTGGAGCTGCCTTTTTTCATTAGACTGATGGCTCGGGGCCTTGTGTCTGTGCTGGATTGAAATCTGAATTGGTTTGTCCACCTTTTCTTCTGCGTCCCCTCTCCGTGCTTCATTCCTGCAGCTGCTGTTTGTCATTTAAATAACAAATGCTGGTGGTTCCCTGATTTAGTGAGGGGTGCAGGCCTCTGATGTATATTAATATTGCCGCACAGTGCACTGTACCAGGGTCCATCATTCATTTGGATAAAAGAGGTGGAATTTAAAAACAGCCAATGCTTTACTTGGATACAGATTGCATCCATTTATTGCACTGAGTGATGGAACGGCCGGCAATTCTGTCCTTCACCTCCCCAGCGTTGAACCACTTCCCATAAAAGTAAAAAAGGATTCACCCCTGACCCTTAAGGACCCCTCATATTCAGCATGGGGAATGAGGAACATCCCTCAGTTTCTCGACAGTTAACAGATCCACAGTCTGTTGTAAAGGAAGGAAGTTTTTAAATCTTAAGCAAACATATTGTTTTCCACAAATTAAATCAATTATTGGTGTTTTCTGTGCAAAAACAGTAAGATACAAACAAGGCAATGATAATGGTACTATTATAAATACTGCATATTTTAATGTTTTTCAACTGCACATGCTGTTATATGCTTAGATATTTTACTGTGTGTTTTTGGTTCGTGACTAAAAGATGATCTGTTTCCTATCGAAGGAGAGTCCCTGATTGGCACACCCCCCTTCAGCCCTGTTCAGAGTGTTTTCCTGCTTCTTGAGTCTAGTGCCCCCTGTCCACTGTGATTTATCATGCATCCCATGTCGTCCAATGTCAGTTTCTGCAGCTGCAACTGCTCTATATAAATCTTTACTTTGGCAGCCTGCTGCACCATGTCTCTCCTCGGTAATCTCACCACCGCCAAGAGATGCACATTCACCCTGACAAGCTTTCACACTCTCTGTGTACAAATTTTGGTTTGTTGCCATTCTGACATAAATGCGTACAGAGACAAAATCAGATTCAATGATTTGTTGAGTGGAGATGTTTTCCGGTAAACATCTTGTTTGCATGGAAAGATTGTTTGCTGCATTTAGTAGAGAGAACAGCGCAGCTCGCAGTGTTGCTCTTAGTGAACACGACAGCTGAGTCTTTGTTTGAGTTGGCTAGAGGAAGTGGATTGTTGTATGTGTTAGTGGTTGATTTGAAACTCTGTAATCAGGAGTGAAAATGGTTGGCGGCTCGAGGTGTCTTCCAGGGCTCCGTGGGGAATTACTGAGGCGGTACCCAGCTGTTGCTTTGTCTTTTTTCTTTACCCTTTTAGCACTTCCGCGGCAGTGCTGAAGCTGGCTGTGAAAAAAAAAACACAACAACTTATCAAGCCAGGTATCTGTTTGGATTAGATGACCACTCCATTTCTCAGCCTTAAATTGGCCATTTTCTACTTTTCTCACTACCATCAATCCAGAAATCCAACTCAATCCAACAAGTTCTTTCTTGAAATAGAACAAAGCATGCCAGCTCTCACTTAATGTTATACTATATATTGATATTATAGTTGAATCACTTAAGGTGGATTTATTTAGGCTTTGTACACTGAATGTGGTTGATTAGTGAATTATTGATAAAATCACATTTTTGTCCAGTGATTGAGAATAAAAATGAAGACATTCTGCTTGTGCCACATTTTTGGGAGAATTATTTGTAAGGCAGCGATGAATCAGTGAGCGTAAAGAATCTGATGGGTTTTAATAGCCTTGGCTGGTCTCACACAGACTAATTAATTATTGCAATTTTACCCCTCCCCTGCCGTCTCCTATGATGCCCTTCATCTTTATCTCTATAAAGGGATGATGGTAATAAACCCAAAACTTGAACTTATTCAGTGTGCTACATTTCAGGAAGAGTTAAGAGTTTGGTGTAAATATATGGGGTTGAATTCAATTGATGATTAACCTTGTCAGGCTGTAAGTGTGTTATCTCTGTGTGCTGGTAAGTGCCACATGAGGGTGCCCATGTAGAGGCCAGCCCCTTGGTCAGCCTTACCGCCTCTCCTCTCCCCTCTGTCTCCATGTGTCTCCTTGCCCGAGCAAGATGGCTGCGTGACAGATCACTTGCGTCGGAGGCCCGCCGTGTTCCTGCCCGGCGGTCCGGCCCCCTCTCATTAATGCCCAGGTTGGTGCGAGGGCCGTATGGCAGCACAAGACAAATAACGCTACCACTCAGCCATCACTTCTGCTGACAGAAATGCAGCCCACCGCACTATTTCGCCCTCTCCGGCTCCACTCCGCACCCTGCTCGCGTCCTTCAAAAAACCCCCCCATCTCCTTCGTCTCCACCTGCACCTGCCTGCACTGCTCCACCAAACTTTCATGGCGGGTTTTTGCTGTTGCTGGAGGCTTAGCTTCACACTGAAACCCACTCAGGTTGATGTAGTGTAACCACATACCTGCTGCCTTTGTAACTCACTCTAATTGTTTTCTGTTTGGTTTACTTCTTTGTGGAGACGGATTTGTTTTTAGCAGCTCAGTCTGTCAGGTGCTTCTTGACTCACTTGTGTGCAAACCTTCTCATCGGGAGGTCTGATTTGAATATACTGTGTTTTCAATTGTGAAAAGAGCAGTGTGTGTGCGTGTGTGTGTGTGCGTGTGTGTGTGGGTGCACGTGTGTGCGCATGAGAGTGAGAAGGAGAGAGAGAGAGAGAGCAGGAGAGAGAAACACAAAGGCTAATCATTAAAGAGCTATTCAGCCCTGTTCATTTAAGTGTGGGAATCAGCAGACCCATTACTGTCAATGTGTAATTAGCTGATTAATAAACAGGGGGAAGGGGAGTGCTCCAGGAAGGCCTGTAATGATTGTTTTTAGAGAGCATCACATGAGAGCTTATTAAGATGGTAAGATGGTTCCATTCAACCTCCCATTATCACCCACAACAAATGCATGTACTGTAATTCTGCCATTGACACAAAACCTTTGCATTGTAATATCTTTATTGACCTTGATGTAAAACCAAATGGGTGTAGGTGGACGTATTATGGCCTTTTAATTTATCTATTATAATATATATTATTTTATCTTTTAGTCAAGCAATTGATTTCAATTCATCATTTTTAAATTCTCTTATACACATTAATATACAAAGATAATACAGTTTGAATAAAATAACTAAAGGTACTTTTATGAAGTAATTCTATTTTCTGCTACTTTATCTTTCAACTTAATTTACTATATTATTCTGACAGCTGTAGCTACTAGCAACTTTTCAAATGTTAATCTTATAAAATAGTGAAATAGTGACCCTTTATATAAAAGCACTGTCTGGTTGTTTTTATTTTATAACGTTTGGAGAGAGGCACAAAGAGGTTAAATCATTACTCCATTGATCCATTATTAAAAAAAAAAAAGAGTATATATTTGGGGTTGGGAACCACTAAGCTGCCTAGCTCTATATAAAGTAGTTTGTTATAGTTAGTAGTAGTAGTAATAACAAACTAATAATGTCATATAGCAATCACAGGGGCCATGTTACTGCAGAACAAGTACTTATACTTTGTAAACGTTAAGTACATTTGGTTGATAATACTTGTACTTTAACCAAAGTAGGATTTTGAATGCAGGGAATATACTTGTAATACAGTATTATTACATAGTGTTATTGGTACTTTTACATACATACAAACATACATGCATATAGCCATTAGTAGGATTAATGTGACTTCTTTCTTTCTTTCTTCTAAGTAGTGCAGCCTTCACATATGTTGTAGGATTTAAAATATTGCATTTATTTAATTTAAATGTCTGTTCTCCCGATCACAAAGTAAAAATGTGTATAAAGAGCTTATCCTGATCGTGACCTTAGGATAGAGGCTAGTATATGGTATGCTCTGCATGTTAACACACTCCCAAACTAAATGTCCCCAGCCATTTATTTGTATGTCAGATATGAAAACCCCTGAATTTTGATCCAGGCCTTTGACTATGTTTAACCTGAGTGTTTGGGTTGAACCTCAGCAACGGTTAGTCATCGTTCCCTCAAGAAATATTAATCAATTATTGTGCCCGCCGGATCAGTTTGGGGAAGAAGTCATCTGGAAAGAGGCACAAGCAGATATAATGGGAATGAGCAAAAGCACATGCCAGTGAATGCTGTAATGCCTAATCCTTTGAGACAGCCCAGAGCCACAATGTCACTTCTAGTTCCCTTGTCCTCTGCTCTGGGACTGCCTCGCAAATGTCTTGTGTGACCGCCGCAACTTTTTTTGAGGTGGGGGGGGGGGGGGGGGGGGGGGGGGTCAGGAAAGATTTACTATCAACCTGAAGTAGGAAAAGCAGGAAAGCATGTTAGGGAGCGCAATTGTTTTAGATTTCCTCTTTCTTCTGCGGAAATTGGCCCTTTTTCTCTTTCAGATATTTCCCTTCATTCGTAGAGACAAAAAGCTTTAAAGGTGAGTGAGATCAAGAGAAAAAGAGGATCTTTGAAAAGGAAGGCCGTCAGTGAGATGTGAACGTGTGATGAATGGAGTTAAAAACATACAGCTTCGTACAGCATAACCGGAGGGGGGAAGTTAAGCCATAGGAGCAGCACAGATTGGCCTTTTAATAACCATGTCCACAAGTCATATGGGGCCAAATTGGATTTGGCTCACTTGACCAAAACCTCATTAATATTTAACCTATTAGAAGAGGATTGCTTCAAAGTTTTATTTCAATATACCTAAAACATGGAGAGATCCGTGAGTCGTGGACTAAATTTAATTTTTATTTGAGAGGCAGTCCAGTGAAGAGAAATGTGATTTATGTAAGTATCTTTTACTTTGTTTGTTCTTTTTGTTGTGTTATATGTCCAGAATATGATATGTGCTTTCTTTTTCTCTGCAGCTAGCAACCCATTTCATAAGGATCACCAGAGAGAAGAGGCACAGGGAGCCAATAACACCTCAACCCTAGAGGCCGTGGGGGCAGCCAGTGCAGCAGGTTCCCAGTCTTTTGCTCAGCCTGAAACTTTTTCTCCAGGGGGGCCATGAGGACACCTGAAAACTGGACAAGCACCCAAGCTTGGGAGAACGTGAAAAAAAAAGGAAATCTGTTGTGCCTGAGAAAAGGCTTCAACTCCTCTTGCTGCACAAAATTTAGGACAAAGAAAAAATACAAAGCACATCATCAAATCAGCATGTTACTGCTAGATCCAGTCTTTCCGGGTAGTATACTAAGTACGGCAAATGTTAATGCAATCAAGCCTCGTTAAGCCCTCCGTCATCTCCTCAAGGAAGACGGCAGCGTCAAGAGGCTCCTCGTTTAACTCAAGCCTCGGCGGCTCCTCCTGTTTCCACACACATAGTCTCCAGGCCACCTGCCACCATACAATCCAACAATTATGTCCACTGTTGTAGCGCAGCGTTTGTCAGCGGGAACACTGGGAGGATGGTCAGGTGAGGCTGGGTGGCTGCTGGAGGCTGGGTGGGGGGGGGGCAGCCAACAATAGCTGTGCTGCAGCACGTAGCCAACTCTGAGACAGGAGCACATCAGAATGTTTAGCTGCCACATGCTGCTACCGGGTTCAGTGAGGCGACCACCAGTAGAGAGCCACACAAAGTACAGGCCTCCTATTAGCATTGATTTGAAAAGCTACAGTTTGTACAAAGGTGCTCATTAGCACAACACAGAGGGAGCGTAGTCGCGGTCCGTGGAGGGCCGTCTCTGTTCTCTCCAGCTTACCTTCCATATTCAAATTTCCCCCAAACGTATTTAAGTTGAAGGCCGGCTACAAAATCTGTTTGAACAGCCTGTTTTTCAGCGGTGGTGGATACGTTGCTTGTGGAGCTGTGCAGACGGTGGATGAGAGCCAGCAGAGCGGGGTTGGAGGAGCTCTTGGAGACAGTAGAGGAGGGTTGTACACGGTATTTTCACCTACCCTTGGGGTATACATTTCCCTGGCTCCCTCGGCATCAGATGCATTAAAAGATCAATGGCAGCATACAGTGAGATCAAACACAACAGTTCTCGCCAAGCTGGTAAACAAGCAGAAAAATGCATTTGCTGGAGTCAAGTGATGTGCATTCTGCTTGACATGAACCATATGGGTGATAACTGTTATAGGCTTTAAAACATGAACAAAAACTCCTGCGTACAACCACGTCATCTCTGTTGTAGTCTCATCAGGTGTTTTGCAATAAAACATCAACCTGAAGGGAAACAGCAGAGTGATTTTGGTTCTGACTAAATAAGTTTTTTTGTTGTTAAAAATGAGACGTATTAAAAACCCTCTTGACGGAACAGGTACGCACTTTTGTATAATGATTGCAGGATATCTTTTTAGTGAAATTAACTGCATAATCATCAGCCACATATCGCATGTCTTTTCAGACACTTTAAAGCCTTATTTAAGAGAAGAATCACATTTAGTAGAATGAGATTTGCCAATTAACGTGAGTTATACGTCTGCAATAATCCGTCTGAGAAGGCTTTATGTGATCATGTTGGCCAGGGATGACATTTATAAATGCTGTGTGTGCACACTCGTCTAAATGGATGCCTCACACAAGACATCCTGCCACAGGAATCAGTCAAAGTGTTGAGGCAGAGAGCACCCCCAACCCCACCCCCCACCCCCACCCACCCCTCCGCCTCCTAGTCTCTCCTGCTGCAGCTTGACCAGGGAGTCCAGCAGCACTGTAGGCTCTTTCAACGTCAGGAATACACACCTGATTGATAGGAATAGCACAGGTTGAGGTTCCCAATTAGAAAAAAAGAGGCTTTTGATAAATACATTGATGGCTTTTTTAAGACATATGCCCCTGAACACGGTGACAAGTATTGACTGTGTAGTGTTTTAAGGAGAGCTTCTCGCCATAGCCTTATCCGTCAGTCTGTGTTTTGGAGCCAAGGCATTGACAAGAGAGGAAGACACATCAGTACAGATGCAGTTCCATTAGCAGGAAGAGGGAAACCCCTCACCTGCCTCTCTGGTAATTAGCAGTCACCATAATGACATCTCAGCCAGACCGTATGCCCCAAAATGAATTTCCAATGGCCAGGAAGTGGGGGAATGGCTTCCGTGCAGCCAGTCAATTGCCCTGTTACAGTTAAGGAATCCAGCAGGCCGGTGCCACTCATATTTCATCCCAGGTAAAGATTACCTGTCAGGCCCATGGGAGATGTATTGATCTGTTTTCCTTTTTCCGCCAGCAATCACCTGACAAAGGCACCTAGGAGGCAAGTGAATGAGTGATGCCTGGTGTGTCTGCTCCAGCATGGTGGCTTCTAGTGTCCACTGATGGGTGGAGAGGTGATGAGGAAGAGGAGAGATAATGCAGTCATAAACTCTGTTTGAACCTCCTCTGTATGCATGCAGGACAGCCCCTTTGTGCCCCAGGTCACAGGTCACTGGGGAATTTGCTTTTTTTTTGGCTCCTTTCTTGTCAGTGACGTTTGTTCTTGCTATGTAGTGTGTAGTGATGACAGAAACACATGCAAAAGAGGCTCTATGGTTCCTGCTGACAAATGCATGTTTCGAGTCACCGTAGTTCAACTCACTTTGGGTTTCAAGAGTGATCCGGTTTGATCTAGGCGCTCTCTCACAATGAAACCCAACCCTGTGCAGTCTAAGGGTTTCCTGTGACTGTCAGTGTGGCAGTGATCAATATATTTTACATTATCTCATGTTTTCTTGGCAGCTAAAAGTATTTATATATTTGCCTTGTTCAGTGGAATGTTAGAATTTATATCATCCATGAAGCCATGTATTTAAAGTGATTGCACTGTATAAAATGTGAGTATTGAGTATTTATGTGATGCATAATTATAGGTCCATTAATTGAGGATTTAGGTCTGAAGACATTAAATTCATAAATTGATTTTCATGATAGATAGTACAGTAGATACGTCTCCCTAATTTTTTACTATCGTATTTTTTAATTTCATTTACAAGGATTTAAATATATCTCCCTGCTATCAGGGCTCTTAGGCAGCTATCCACATTTGATACGTGGTACAAATAGCATCTTATCTCATAGGCTGTTATCTTTATATTTAATAGAAGTGGCGGCATGCCTAATTGCTTTGCAAGTGATCTAAAGAGGATTACTTCTCCCTTAGAAAGCCTGCACGGTGTCACTAGATGTTAGAGAGACATTACAATGGTAAAATTCAATCAAACCTGCAGTTCTGCGTTTATGCAGTAGCTCTGTTTTCTGTGATCGTCACTCAGTGTTATGTCAAAATAATTGTCAGTATGAGGTGGATGCTCTGTTTTTGAATAAACTGTATGAACATGATTATGGACTATTATGGATAAGAAGCTGTTTTAAGAAATTGTACTTCTACTTCTGTCATTTGTGTATATATTTACTGTCTTGCCTTCTTGTCATACAATAGGTGAAGTTATAATCATTCTATGTCATGAGTATTAAAAGAAAAACTGCAGTATCTGTTTGTTTCTGTTGGAATTTGTGTGCAATAAATGAATTGTGGCGATCATGATGGTGTGAAACGTGTATGGGAAGATTTTGCCTGACAAATATGGTCTGTACATATGTACTTCTTTATATTCACGTCAATGTAGAGAGAGGGGATGATAACATGTGACAAAGGTTTCTGACTGGTATCGAACCAGTATTGTGGTTACAGTACACAGTAGGCTATGCATTTTAATCACTGGGTTGCCTCAAAGTATTTTTAGTTTGAAACCCATTCTTGAACATTATGTTGCCCTGTCATGGATATCAGGTACATTGTTCATTAAATAATGGTTGATTAATCAATTACGTCATTGATAAAATTAATCACTAGATACATTGATATTTGAGCCGCTGTAAAGTAATGTAATTATCAAAAAACATAACTGTACACTAGGCATGTCACTAGAAGCAATACTTCCTTACTAGGTCCTGTCAAAATTCAGAAAATGTGAAGTACTGAACCCTAAGTAGAAGTAGATGTCGTAAGTACTATGTGATTCTTCCAGGGCTGGCACGAGCAGTGAAAAAACACAAAGTGTCCTAGTCTGACATCAAACTCAGAGAGAAGAATGCAGGCAAGGTACACACTAACAACAACACTTGGAATGACTGCAGCACCAGGTCGGCGGCGACCAGCATGCACTGGTGTATGGAGATATTTTGCATTTTGGGGACAAGTTGTAGACAATGAAAAGCCAATGTGAAAACGATGCCACAGGGGGAAAACACCTCAAACTTATCCAAGCAGCTCGAAGACAGGCATCTGGATCTGTACACAGAAGTCAGGGTGAGTGAGTTTCAGTTGTTAAACTATATTTACAACACGTTGTCAACATGTTTATGTCCTGAAATGTTACCGTTATTGTTTGTGAATTGCGACAGCTGACAACTGTTGTAACAACGTTCCACACATCGTTCACAAAGGCTAACGTTAGCTTGTTTAGGCTAACGTAGTGACAACTGGTAGCATGAGCTGGGTGCTCATAACATTAGCAGGCTACAGTCATTACCGTTCAGTCTGGTAATATATGACACAGACTTTATAAATGAATATTTTCCCAACATGGGTTTGTCACCATGTCAGTCAGTTTAAACTGCTGCTATATGGAGGTGTGCGCGCGCGTGTGTGCATGTGTGTACGCAATCACCTCTGTTGCGTCCTGTTTTTAGCTGTGGTATCGAATTTGGTATTGAGAATCGTGGAATTCAAATGGTATTGGCACCAAAAGTCTGGTATAGTGATATCCCTACCCTACCTGGTGGTTATGTGAGGCTTGGGCACTTAGGCACAGCTTTGCTTTGAGTTAAATCCTAACATGAGCATGCTAATATACTCAGAATGAGAATGCTAACGTGCTGATGTTTAGCAGTTGTAATACAGTGTTTGCCATCTTAATTTAGCATGCTAGCATGCTAACATTTGTTAATTCAGTACAGATGAGGCTGATGGAAACGTAATTATTTTTTCAGGTATTTGCTAATAAATCAAGTATTAAAATTCAATTATAATTAGATTATTAGATTGTTGACTTGGTAATTGCACTAGATGAAAAGTCCTGGGGTTATGCTGTTAGAATTGCAAAAAATGCCAAGCATCATCTCCCCCAGCATCTAAAATGTGAGGATTTGCTGCTTTTCTGTGTTTCATATAATTGTAATTTGTGCGTCTTTGGGTTTGGAACTTTTAGTGGGACAAAACAAGCAATCTGAAGACATCAATTAGGGCTTTGGGGATTTATGATGAGGATTTTTCACTATTTTATAGACTAAATAATTATTGATGATAATCATTGTTAGCTGCAGCCTTGGAATACATTTCAGAATGGACTGACACAATCCCCACAAGATTTGACAGAGAACCTTCTGAATACAAATGTTAGTCTGGCTGCAGTGTGGCTGACAGAGAAAATACTCCCTCAGCCGCTGGAGATTATCAGTAGATCCCCCACTGTTAATCTTGCGGCTGAATGCTGAAGACGGTGGTAGTCACTTCGCCACGTGTTGAGAGTCGGAGCAATTCTCTCCGCTCACCGGTGGTCCACGGTTACAAATCACATCATCAGCTGTCTGAGCACCCACAGCCACCTCTTCTCCACCAGATTGATGGTGAAATGGAGGAAAAATCAATGGCTTCCTCTCGTCAGAAAGAGCCAGCTCTGTCATGTTTGGGAGTTTGATGTTACCCTCTCTTACTCTCTCTCTCCACTATGGGAAATTGAAAGCTGAGTTTGAACAAACTGACAGACGTGAACAGACTGGAGTCACTGGAGTCGATATAATGACCGATTTCAATCTGCTGCTTTACTTGTGAGGTATCAGTTCTGCTTTCTAAAAACGCTTCTAAACTGTAGGAGAAGATCACAGCGATCAGGTTGAGTTGGTTGAGTTTCTAGTAAATGATGGTTAGTCTTCACACTGATTCAAAGGCTTCTGTGTAGGTGACCCTGTGAGTAACAGCAGTCCGTTTTCTTACTAGTCAGCCCCTCAGGAGTCCCCCTCCATCACTTCATCCTTATCACCACGATGACACGCTGCAACTGTGAAGCAAGATTTCCATTCACTGCTTGCTCTGAAATGAGCAAGCATCACTGAGCTTTTTCACTCCGGCACATATTCCCCCTCTAATGGGAAATTCAAATATCACAAATCAGCTGAATGCAATATTCACTTAGCGAGAGATAACACTCTGCGTGAGGTGTCTCGTGTATCCCGTTCAGAATAGGCACGGCTCGGTCTCTAACACCAGATCTGACTTGGTTTATAAATTCTGTCTAAAGCTTATGTGCAGCCTGTTCAATCACTCTGTGCTTTATTGGTGCATGTGTTGGTCCTCTTGTGTATTTGAGGGAGAGCAGATTCTGGGGCATCTGTGCTTGTCCTGCTGCTACTCCGGTGTCTTTACACCAGCACCATCCCTTTTCATTTCTGCTGGCATTCTAATCAAAGCGTTACGAGCTTCAACGGGTGAAGTACGCAGAAAGTTGTGTTTCCTGACAGCCAATAAAAACCTTATAATCTCCCTGATTCAAGTGGCCCATTTAAAAAAAAATACTAACTAGTGCTATCACTCAGACCACCCCCTTCCCTTTTTCTTTAATGCCCTTTTTTATTTAATATATAGCCCATGAAAAATGAGAGACTCCCGCTTCACCGTGTA